TATACTTCATAGATGGTTTGCAATAAAGTACTATCGACAGCAAATTTAAGTCTTTATCTAGATTAATTTAACATTTGGAGGTGAATCGAATAGCTTTCTAATGAAATATTCATTTAACGATTTACTGACAGAATAGGTTTCAAAACTTTACAGTATTTCCACAGGTTTATGAATTTTGATGAGCGCCTATTCTGTACCAGTAGTTCATTGAATAGTTTAGTTTTAACTTTTAATGTATATATCTTTATGTAAATATGTTTAATATTATTAAGTCCACCTAATATTAAACATCGTTTTTATCGGACAACATGAAAACTGCACGAATCAATATACACCAGTCACTTGATTTGTGTGTGTGCTGTGATACTGGCTGGGTGCCCAAACTGAGACAGATGGTTTCCTTAGGGGGCCACACCCCGAGCATTTGACCTAAAGGTTTGATCCACAAGGTAGTGGAGCAGCGTAAAGAGATGTAGTCCCACGGTAGCCGGTGACCAACAATTGTTTCATACGCCATTCAGGATCCTGGAGCCCATGTGCATCATTGGTTTGAAATCACAGTTTTCCAACTCCTCTAGATTGGTCCTCCATATCCACCAACCCGCTTAAAGCCCCGAATATTCGCTTTTCATCCTCTCAATTTCGTGGCCAACACTCCCGCTGCGAGAGGGCAGTGAGTAGGACTTCTCTGGTAGTGGTTGTATGCAAGTGGCCTTGCGATAGCATTTCGAGAGGGATAGCGGACTCTCCCCACCCTCGGCCGTACCAGGGTATTTAGGGGATCTGCACATTGTTTTGGTTCTTATGGCAAACAACGTATGTTATTATTACTATTATTCTTAATACATCTAAGTCCACCTACATAAAGCGATAAAGATTGTATAGAAAACAGAATAAAACGTTAAATCACATGGCTATAGAATTAACCAAGTAAATAGAAAAGAAAGTGTAATAAATTAACTGTCCTCAAACATACGGGAACCTGACGTCATGCATTTTCTAAAGTTAATTATGGAAAGAAATTATCAGGTGATAAGATTCTTATCCTTCTTTGAAAAAAAACAAACTATAATTGGTCTTATTGTGTAATGGACAAAGCAATCCATTATACTAAGATTATTTGGTGGAAACTTGGTAGATTTGAAGGAAATATTTATGTTGCTTCATGAGAATAATAGAAATATGAACATCGACCACAAGTCTGTAGGCACTTAAATACAAGACATAAAGTAGCTTTGCGACTTATTCCTTTAACAAAAATCCATGTAAACTTGCAGCATTATTCGAGGTCCAGTAAGAGTAACTACTTACCGAACTAATGTGTAAGGACTTGTTATTTGCCTGTAATGAGATTTTACCAGATAAATTATTACATCTTGATGATACGGTTGAATAGTGCTAGGCTTGAAGCGGTAACGAGTTCACTTAAACTGGGAACGGAATAAAGACTTGTGACCAAAGACCAACAAACTAGCTATTCTATTGCGTACAGGCCCCGCTAACTAGAGAGAGAAGTCGAAGTCTGAACGGGGAAGTATATTCCGCAAAACGCCAGAAAACGACCGATAACAACGGACACAAATCAAAACGTACATATAAAGCACAAAACCGTCCATGGGAAGCGTTACAAAATAGCATACTAAAAGACACAAAGGACCAATAGCGTTTAAGATTCTCCCGAGTGGGAAACACGATATAAAGGTGAAAAGAGCGCTTTTGGCGCGAAAACAAAAGAACTCAAATTTTCTAAATATAATTACAAAATCAGATCCTTTTCCAAGTGAGTTCTGGGGATCTAACATCCCCAACAAATAGAAGAACATTGATTTCGTCTCCCTATATGAATATATCAGGAAGCAGGTGCGAAAATTCTTAGAAATAACTTTGAGACGATCTACTTTTACGCCAACCTGGCCGGGAAACTCCCCCCTCGATAAGTAAGATTGTCTGCAGGATAAGGCGAATCGATCAGCTTTTTGTTTATATCGTTGATGATTTCAATAAACTCCACCTACTGCGTTGTTCTGATCAATAGCAGAAGCTCTTACCATCCATGAGCTAAAGCGAGAACTGTGAGTACAGAAGTACAATCTACCGTTATCGTTACCTTGACCTTAATTATTAGTAGTAGTACTGCATTGCTCCCTTTACTTATGCGTTATATTCTCATCATTTTATTCATAATACCACTTTATTTATTTCATTACCTCTAATGCCTTTAATTACACTAACAAAAATGTTTTAATCTTACTACATTCACGTTATAACTCGTCACAAATTCAATAAGTCTATTTTTTATTACTCACATTACGTAATTTGGTATTACAATCTTTCCATTACATTATCATGGCTATTCCTTGACTTAGTCTATTTTCATAGTGAAGCTTCAATTTGACTATACCATACTACATTTATTCCTGCTAACTTGTATTTATTTGAGGAAAGCACCCAACTGCGTCACAAGACAAGCCCTCACATGTAATCCTCAAGGCCAAAGGACGAGAGGAAGACCAAAGAACACATTACGCCGGGAAATGGAGATAGATATGAGAAAAATGAACAAGAATTGGATGGAATTAGAAAGGAAGGCCAAGGACAAAGTGGGTTGGAGAATGCTGGTCGTCGGATATGCTCCATTAGGAGTAACAGGGGTAAATATTAGTTTCAATGCATTCTATCATTTTTAAACTTTTCTTACATATCTGATCTTCACAATAAAATTGAAATGTAAAAGAATAGTTCTTTTTTTTCTTTTAAAGAATACTCATCGATTTCTATATTACTCTGAGAGATGTATTATTGTTATTACTACCTAAAAGAACGATAATAAAAAAGTAGAACTATATCATACAACAGTTGAATAACCTCATTTCCGTATCACCTAGCAACGAACAACAACAACAACTGATATTCATTATTAAAAAGGTGGATCTATTCACATTGAATACACTGAATGCTATTACCTTTCACATACTACAAGACACAATTTAAATGATCGAAATAAGATGTACTTCAAATATTGTATTGCTTTTTATTTATCTATTGTAGCAGAAAACAAAACAACTTCCAGCTGAGGAGAACATTAAGAAAAGACAATGAATGTGGATAGAACATACATTGAGGAAATCATCAAATTGAACCATAAAGCTAACTCTAACTTGGAATCCTGAAGGCGAAGTGAAAAAAAGGAAGATTAAGAAAATACATCGTTTTGGGAATTGGAGGCAGACATCAGAAATAATCAATAGCAATTGTAGACAACTAGAAAGGAGAACCCAAAAATAGTTGCTTGGAGAATCCTGGTGAGCAACTTATGCTCCATGAGAGGTAAAAAGCGTAAGTAAATACATTTCTGATTCATGATTTAAATTGAAATAGGAAAGTTCATTTTGTATTGGTTATTCGAATCTTCCTATTGATGTTTAGGATTGTAATAGATAAGTCTCTTAATGGTATAAGTGTATTATGTGCGAGTTGCCTCGATACTGCCTTAAATCATAAACATTATAAGCAAAGATGGAGGGTGTCTAACAGTGGAATTTAGGACGCGCATTTCTTCTTATTTGGAACTAGTAAGATGCTTGAAATAGGAAGGTTTGAAGAATCTCCTTATTTTTTATACTATGTACATTAAAATGAGAAGAAAAGATAGATAAGGAAAATTCCATTGTATGGTGGTTGAAGGTAGTCAACAGGAAACCCTGAACCCGGGTTTCGTGCTGCTTGGCACTCGTCAGCAAGGCGTACCTATAATCGTGAGGCGACTGGTGCTCCCTGGCGGATTCGACCTCGTATCACCCAGCTTCACAGTCAGAGACGTTTCCACTGAGCTATCCGCGCCGCGACTGACCTCCGGTAGGACTGAGATGTAATCACAATTGATTGACCACTGGGCCCGCATAGGTCAATGGTAACGTCTCTGACTGTGCAGCTGGGTGACACGGGATCGAAACCGCCAGGGAGCAACAGTTTCCTTAAGATGACAGGTACACCTTGCTGACGAGTGTCAAGTAGCACGAAACCCGGGTCCAGGGTTTCCTGTCGACTACCTAAAACCACTATCTAATCTCAATATATAGTGCACGCAGTGTCCAGTCACCTAGACTGGTGGCCACATTGCAACATGGTCGATAACATTCGATCTGTACTAAGAAGAACTTGACACACATGACATTGATCACCACCCAGTGATCAATCAATTGTGACAATCCCATTGTATTATCCATCCATCCATCCATCCAACCATACATACATACATATATACTAAAACGCTTATCAGGTCAGTTAGTTTTATTTTACAATACGTTGAACAACGTGGTATTTATGAGTTATGAATGATAACAAAATAACCCTAATGAAATGAAGAATACGAACAATTTAACAACAACAAAGAAAAAAAGAGTAAACATTATTAACAAATCAAAGTTTAACAATTTTTGAAAGGTGACAAAATTAAAGAAGATGAATAACAACTGAAAAGAACTAGAAACAATTGCCCGAGAAAGGGTTGCATAGAGAGTGTTGATGGGTGGCCTATGCTCCTCAACGAGGAGTAACAGGCATAAGTAAGTAAGTAAGTAAGTAAGTAACAAAATGAACAAACATAATCACAGTATCATTATGATCAATTATTTAATACAATTATGTTGTAAAGATAGTAAAGTAAATGAAGAAGTAACAGTCTTTACTAGGGTTGAATATATCTAAGTGTTACATCATTATGATTTAATGTAGGATAATCTACAATTATACAAAATCATTTGTTGAATTGTCTAAAGAGATTATAATTTGACAAATGTATCCATCAAGTATCACATATATAACCAGTAAGACATAAGGAAAAGAAAACAACTAACAAGAAATGAATAAAGAAGGTATATAAGAACATAATAAGTGTCCAAAACAAAATGAAGATCAATCCAATAAGAATCTTCAAAATAAATCTTTTAATAGACTAAACACTTAACAATATGTCATATACGTGTACTATTATGAATTAAATAATTTCATGCATTAAATGAAGTAAATGGAAAGCTTATTACTCATTATTTAGAACAGCTGAATCTGGAGAAACACATAATGATGACGACGACGACGACGACGATGTTGATATGGTATCTGGAATAGAACATTCAGAGAAATGACGCGGTAAACAAGATGAAGTTGGATACGAAGAAGGAGAAGAAGAAGACGACAACGAAGAAAGATGATTGATATATCCCTGCCTTTGATGATTATATGTATGATAATTTAAAAACATTAAAGGGGTAGTATCATAAAGATAATGTGAAAATCGACGTAATTTATACAAAATGGTATATCCTGATTGAGAGAACAAACGAATAATCCATCTTAGATAACATACTATTGAATGATCATTAAGATATTCATATATAGCATTTAAATTATAACTTCTTAACATGATAAAAATGAGAGTTAAGGATTAGCAATAAATATTCATAATTAATAAATGTATCATAAATGACTATGGTTATATTGTTTAAAATCATGAAATACAGGCACCAAACAGATATGCGTCACAAGATCATTCGATTTGTATGAGGACTGGGATACTCCCCACGTGCCCAAACTGAAGCAAGTGGTTTCGTTAGGGGGTCACACCCCGAGCCTTCCACCCACAGGTCTGATCCACATGGTAGTGGAGCAGAGTAAAAAGATGTAGTCTCATGGTAGCCGGTGACCAACAATTGCTTCATATGCCATTTGTTCTATTACGATACTGGATCCCATGTGCACCATTGGTTTGGAATCAGGTTTACCAACTAATCTGTGTGAACTCTCTGTATTAACCAACCCTGTTAAAGCGCCAGATATTCGCTTTTCATTCTCTCAATTTCGTAAACAATACCCCCGCCGCGAGAAGGCGGTGAGTAGAACTTCTCTGGCAGTGGTTGTGTCTACGTGAACATGTGACAGCATTTCGAGAGGGATAGCTGACCCTCCCCATCTTCGGCCGTACCAGGGCATTTGGGGGCAGTAAACTACATATGTAATAAACAATTTTGGACAAATTTAATATTTTAGAAAAATAATACACTCATTCGAAACCACTTTCAGTCAAATTATGATTTCTAATGTTAGTGATCAATACTTTTACTTAAATTTATGAGTGAGATGAATTTAACTGCTGTTATTTTCTAATATAAGTAGTTTCAAATACAGGTTAAATTACTCTGTTTTATGTTATATTTCAGGTGTGATGGCTGATAATCAGTAAGTCAGCTATAACGTAGGACCAGGCACATATATTGCATCGGTGGAAGTTGCCATTCCTCATTAACACAACAAGATCAACACCAAATTCATAGAAGTAGTTAATTCAGAGGTGGTAATATATAAAAGAAAGATTGCATATAAGGATAGAGTACAGGAAGAAAGAAAGATATAAAGCAATTTTAATCCCATAGATTAAGGGAAGACACCGACGCCATTGTGATCGATTCTGAGTCACGTCACCCAGAGTCTCCAACCATTGGTTACAATAGTCGCACGGACCCTAAGCAAATAGTCTACATTTACCAACATGGCTAAGACTAGAAGTTAATGACTTCATGGATTGATGCCACACTGTTAATATCAATCACCTATTCAAATCAAAATATGTAAAAGATAGTTAGAACCTGTCATTGATCTGTACATTAAGTTCTTTAATTACCGGACAATCATTATATATTGTTTCTAAGGTAGTTGGTTATTTAGTCCTAAAATTAAAACGATTATAATTGACCTTCTTAGATTTAAATAAAGTACTTTTATGTCATTATTAAATGGACACTGACCAGTATCAGCAATTTAAATATCAGAATTGATCATCATCAAAATAACGATTTGTTAATGTTCAAAAATTCTAAAGGCAATTTGTAAACGCTTGATTTTGTCCAGTGTAATGAATGTATTTACTTACATAAACATGTTATTCCACACAACCAAATATGTTGAGAATATGCTTCAGTCAGTCAGTAACAACGTAGAACTTCGTACGTACGTACATCTGTTCGAGTTGCCATACTACATAAGCACAGAGATGCAGTTGTCGATGCAAATGCCGTAGTGGTAGAAGTAGTAAGAGTATAAGCAGTAATCGGGAAGATTAGGGTTTGGAGATGTTATTTATAGCATACAATATCAATATCCGGACGAAGGATAAGTGAATGGTAACTGCTAGGATCTGTTTACGGACTATTGTCACATATATTCTTATTACATAACTATTAAGTAACTATATTATATGTATATTCATATTCGTTTTATTATAAGTTTCCATTTGATCTATTGGCTACTATCATACGATATGCTACTCTTAAGCTATTCCCAATTTATTAGTAACAGTCTTTCACAATCACAGCCACTTTTGGGCTTGATTATGTATAATTGTTATTTTCTATTTTATGGTATGATGAGGTCTGATTTGCTTGTATATAAACCAAGTATATCTGAAATACATGGTTCATATAAAGGAGGCTAGTATTGGTGTTCTGGACTAAACCGGTTGGGTTACGCGAGAAGTTACCATTTCGGTGGACCCATAAGAACTCAGAGTTGACTCTAGACTGCTCGTCATTGGTCTGGTCAGTAAGTCGATGTTCTAATTGGCAATCGTACCACGTGATTACTAACAGGCCATAAGAACATAACAATTATATTTCATAATTCTTTACATTTCATGAAGAATACCTCGAAGATCATAAGCACATTGCTAGAAATAAGCGGAACTATCACATGAACTGATAAACTTTCTACAATCCACATTAACAAACGCAAAGGAAGCAATAGCAAGTGATAAAAAACCCAATACCATCTACAAGATAAGCTGAAACAACTAGGAAACATATTACACGGGGGCGAAATGAATATCTCCTTTGGTTTTTTAAACTCCGTGTATCGGAGTCACACTTATATAAACGCATGTGGGTAACTATTGAAACAAGTTCAAGTGAGAAAATGCTAAAACACTCAATAGACGCGAACGAAAAAGAGAATCTTGAAAGGCTTTGTATTTATTGAATAAGTAGACATACTGAGATAACCTTAATTCATCAACCAATAAGGAAAGTGATCAATAACTATGAGGTCAGATATCAGGTCACCGAAAAGTATGAATATTTAGACAAAGACAACACAATTATGGACAGCAATCACTTAAATCTTACATTGACAGAACAAAATGTTAGAGATATTTGAATAACTCTTTTCAAAGCCTATACTGGTGGTATTGTTTAGTAAAACAAAAAGTCTTATCTTTGGATCACCCAGTTCACGGGATATAACATTGAAATAGTTTTAAACATGTTGAATTGGGTATACTGATATACTTATCTAAGATCATTTATAGAAACGAAACATAAGCGAGAGTTCTAAAGAGTTGATACTTAACAAATGGATCACATACTTGAATACAGTTTTTTTCTGCATCCGTTTAGTAAGTCGAGTCGCATTTCTAACTTATACATTATCAGTATCCCTCAAAATTCGGGAAGTAATCATGTCTAATTATTTACTGAAAGGTATTACTTTTCCTGTAAGTTATAATTTCAGATGCACTGCTGCTTTAATTCCAAAATCATTAATAACCTGTACACCAGAATAAAACATATTTTATGAATAAACTACTGAAATGGTGTAAAATAATTACAAAGCAGAAAATAGACTACTCACTAATACACAGTAGTATCCCACAAGTAGAAACAATTTATACGGCTAACATTAGTATGTAGATTAAAAAATAATTCTAAGTATAATGAAGAAGGTTGTATCGAAATATAATAGGAAATTATAGATTGAAAATTAGAAAACGCTTGTGTACTAAGATAAGAGTAATGACAAAAAAGATCAACAAAATGGACGGATTACTGGGTAATCATATTTAATGATAAACCCTAACAAGATTAAATAAGAATGATAGAAGTTTATCTTGTTCCAATGGGAGAGATGGGTCAAATCACTGGAGAAGTAACTGAAAAATTTCAGCTTACTGAGTGTATCACTTTTGAACTAACACCTTGAATTTGACTAACTGGTAACCAAACTATCAATAATAATACTACTAATAGTACTAATAAACTTAAATAAGGATACATTGGTTTACAATCTAAATATCCACCATTTGTATGAAGAACATATGTACAACCATCAGCAGATCTACCATCAATTGTATAACAACCGGGACGTGTATGAAGAAAAATAAAACCACGATTTTCATAGAAACGTCTTGCATGTAGATTACTATGTAACACATGAAGATAAACAGCTTGTACAGGAGAGACACGTGGTAATTGTGTAATTAGATTGTATAGAGATTTATAATCTTTGACACGCCAAATTATAGATGAAGATGTATCGCTATACTTAGTTGATACCTAGGTGAAATGAAATCGAAAACGGAAGAAAACATAATAGTAAACAAAATCGATGAGGAAGAGGTTTGTGAAAAATATTAAACTAGTGTTTCTTTCAACAAGAATTTAGCTGGACAATCGTCATAAACCAGGGATTATCGGACGTCTACTTCATCTTAACATAAGATTCCTCACCATGCGTGCAAAAAAAAGAACCCGCCAGGTATCGAAAGTTTCAACTTTGAGGAGAGTCCGATATTATTTATTTCAATGAATGAGCATTCAGTGGTTTACAATTCCAAATTTAGTCGACTCACAATGTGGTTGAACTCTACTTACTTAAATCTATGGCAAAAGCTTAATGAAAATATTAGATCCAATGAATTGAAACTAATATCAATTATTATTATTCTTCATAAATTGGATAGTCAGATGGAAACAAATAGTCAGAGTGTGATTTTTACATCGAACCTGACCTATATTATTAGATAAATATATGAAATGGAATGTCCATTGATGATCCGGATTAAGGATTTCAACAACTAACCATAAAAAAATCAATATATCTGAGTTCATTCAGTAACACCTACGATTTGAATATTAAAAGTTAATTTGACTGAATTTATAAAATGTTCTCATATGTTAATAGGTGAAATTGGCCAATATGCTACAGCCTATAGAAAAAATAACATGATCAAAATCGCATTAGCATACGGAAAATTAACATATATTGGTCAATTTTAATTATTGAGATCATGAGTCAATTGAAGCTAAACCACCATGGAAAACCTGAAAGCACTGGATGGCCGTTTCGTCCTATTGCGGGACTCCTCAGCAGTGCGTATCCACGATCCCGCCACCCCGGATTCGAACCCAGGATCTACTGGTCTTTAGATAGAAGTTTGTGCTGATGATGTCGTGCAGAAGAACGATGAAACCTCCACGATCAAACCATCCAGTTCAGAGAACAAAACTCTATCAAAACCATCCACCTGAGCTACAAATCTTTTCCACCACCTATCGGTCTCTCATGCGAACACCTAAACTCTAGACCACTGAGCCAGCATCCAATAGTGTTAATGTCTAATTTCAACCAATCTACAAACTTGAGCCACACGTCCACCATTGTCTTCAATGAGTTATTATCTCACGACAGACCCGGTTGAACTTAATTTTATCGAGATAATTACAACAATCCTAATAATTAATAATTATATTTTCGGAAATATTAAAGAGCTTCCATAGCACTCATTTCGCTAGAATAAACATATCTCAGAAGATTATCTTTATTTATGGACAATGTTTGAAGTTCTGTGTTTAATTGTGATTAGTCGGATTTACAAACCTATTTGTAACAGATATAAACACTTTACAGAAAAAACATCCATTTAATAGTTATACGAATACAGATTAGATTGCACAATAAAATGTGAGAATATTTTCATTTAGTTAATAAAAAGTGAGGAAAATTCAAGAAATCTATTAGTGAATAGTACAGTCAAATAGTATACAAACACAGTATAAACACATTATCTTCACGGATTAATCAATCAGCTAGAACTGGAAACTTTCATGGAAAGCATTAAGTAGAGTTGATTAGCTCGGAATGATTACTGAGTGGTGACCAATAATTATCTTTTTGCAGTCATTTGTATTGACAATTCTAATGATCGATCGTAATAAGGTCACTAGTCTAAATGACTAGTTGACGTCATATACTACTAAGTTAATTGGTGAGAAACCATCATCAGGAAACCAAGGACCTAGGTTTAGTGTTGGTTGGTATTCGTTGGCTGACGCATCCTATGGAATTTAACACTGAACGATATGAGTTTAAATTAAACTAGGAGTAAACATTCCCTCAACAGTGAGGTGACTTTTTGGTGACCGGCGCCAACTAGTACGAAAATCAAGTTTACGGCTGCCTGTCATTTGCCTGAAACTATCTAAAAACAGTATTAGTTAAGGATTTCTTAAAGAGAGTCAAAGTAAAATAAACAGTCGCTCTGATTTGATACCACTATGCATGCCTACTTCTTACCTAGCGCTAAATAAAGTGCAGATTAGTTTGTAAGTAGGGCAGGTAGACTACAGAACAACGCGCTAGGCAAAAGGAATGTTTACTAACTGAAATTACAGAACGCTTATGGAATATGTACAAATAGTCTTCAGTCATCCATTTGTATCCTGATTTGTGCTCTGTAATCCAAGTTGATTACAAACTGTCTTCTCTTGCCTTTCTTCTGGTCTTCAAAGTACTTTGCATACCCATACTTTTCGACCTCCTGAGACTCTTCTCTTCAGTTATCGACTGTAGAAACTTCCACACTCGTTTCCGCTACGTACTACTGGTGAGTAGTATTCACCATGTAACTAGATCATAAATTTATTGGCGATTAAAATAAGTTACGTAAAAATATATAGACTTATTACCTAAAAACATCTGAAATACCAGAAATCAGTAGTTTACATCAAGATACTGGAAGAAAAAGTAAATAATTATAAATAGAAACAATACTAAGATAAATTGAAACCAAGTATTTAGCTTACATTGCTGTCAGAATAACAATCCTCTCCATTTCTATGGTGAGTTGGATTCACATTTACAGTTTGATTGAATAGATCTGAACAAGGCAAATCACCTTGATAATTAGAATCATTCAACCAATCCATATTTTCACCAGATACATAACCAATAAATGATCTCAATAAAATAGATGCTGGAAAATAAAAGTGGATAGAACAACGTTAACTAAATGAGAACAGAATCAATTTATTATGTAAACTATACCACGTAATGTTAATTAAACAAATCCCAAATTAGAACACAGTTCTACAAGAACTATATTTCAAATAACAAGGGTGGATGAAAATATGAACCACAATAAAAGACGTTAGTATACCTACAATTTTTAAATAAGATTCTAGAGTTATTAATTATTATTATTTAAACACATAAACTTGATACAAAGAGGCACCAAACAGATATACGTCACAAAATCATTCGATTTGTATGAGGACTGGGATACTCTCCACGTGCCCAAACTGAAGCAGGTGGTTTCCTTAAGGGGTCACACCCCGAGCCTTCCACCCACAGGTCTGATCCACATGGTAGTGGAGCAGAGTGAAAAGATGCAGTCTCACGGTAGCCGGTGACCAACAATTGCTTTATATACCGTTTGTTCCATCAGGATACTGGAGCACATGTGCACCATTGGTTTGGAATCAGGTTTGCCAACTAACCTAGGTGGACTCTCTGTATTAACTAACCCCGTTAAAGCCCCAGACATTCTCTTTTCGATCGCTCAATTCCGTAACCAACACCGACGCCGCGAGGCGGTGAGTAGGACTTCCCTGGTAGTTGTTGTATGCACATGAACATGTGATAGCATTTTGAGAAAGATAGCGGATTCTCCCCACTCTCGGCCGTATAAGGGGATTTAGGGGCAAGATCCTAGAGTCTTCCTCAAATATCCACTAGCGCTGATTGGATCAGAAATAACTAACCTGATCCTATACAAAACGTGCTTTAACTCAATCTATATCCCGTTAACACCTCCCCTTTGAGCAAATTCGTAGGATCTCGTGTTAGGATACACCTGCGACCGCGTGACTGATCTCTACCTTCGGTTTATATATATATATATATATATATATGTTCGCTTCACTGCATAAACTCTTTTTCTTAACACATATCACTTCCATTTGTTTTACAGAAAAACAACGTGGCTTTATAATGTCAAATCTTCATATACTTTCAATAAGACTAGCGCACTTATAAATTCCGACTTGTGTAGGTTCTAGTCTTTAATTAGGTGTTAGATATACATTTATTATAAAATATTTTTTTATTAAAGAAAGGCTTTATAATACGATGGTGTAAGCAGAATCTAAAATAATCTATTTTGTTAACCTGATAATGAAAAATGACTAGAATGTGTATTACAATCTTGAGTTAGTTCAGGTTAAACACAGAGAAACAATAACAAAAATGAAAAATGCTATTTGTTACTATTACTTAGACAGAAAACAATATAAAACTACGGATAACGTAGATCTTAAGTTATAAAGTTTATAACATTCATAGTGAATATAATTAGTTAGCAATAAAAATAATCCAATAATTGAGTATACATTCGATCATATTTGACATCTACTTCTGTTATATGAATCCTGAGAATACTACATATTAAAGCACATGAATTAATTATAATTTATGATTTAGTTGTTAGAAGAGTACTCAAAATGTGTTAGTTTAAGGATATCATGGAGTATTATTGAGATGTTTATACCAATGTAGCCTAGAGTGGTAAAATGTTCATTGTAAAACGAACAACTAACTTAGATATTTAGAATATAAATTAAAGAGACTTAAAATTCACAGCTTTTGTCGAACAATCAGATCACTAAGAAGTTATCCTAATGTGTTTTGAGCTGAAGTAATTTAAATGTATCCTGATAATGAGTTTGTGCAATGATAATGGTGAGTAACAAAGGCAAAGGAGATTGAGAAAACGATTTGACATTGGAAATAGAGTCAGAAATTAGTGAAATTCTAACAGTAGAAAAGGTATTAATAATCCAGTTTCAAATGGGGGTGAAATGCTTACAAAAACAATTCAACTGGCTTGTTTGGGTCTTCGACGATGGAGGTTGGATGTTGCTATCGAAATTGGCTGAAACAATTACTTTCGCGGCTCAACGCAATTCTGTCTAAAATGAGTCGGTTGCCAATCATCACAGTTTAAAGATCAAAATTCTTCTTACAATAAATAAATAACAATTAGTTTGACTAATACAATCTCTATGATTTTCATATTTCAAAATTATCCGATAATTAATTATAGCCGGAGGAACTACGTAACTCGTTTATAAAGTGCATGGTTATATACTCAGTTTTTAACCACACTGCACGAATTATTGATATTACCCGATTGTCCAAACTAAAATACATGAAGAGAGGTTTAAACCTGTGAACAAACGGTTTTCGGTCGAGTGTTTTAGCCACTAACCTCCCTCTGGGTTCAGTAATTTTGAGAATACCAGGACATTTTCAAGTTCGACCAAATAGGGATCGATCGAATCAGTCAGTCAGTCAGTAACAACGTAGAACTTCGTACGCACGTACATCAGTTCGAATTGCCATACCACATTGGCACAGAGATGCAGTTGTCCATTCGAATCCCGTAGTGGTAGAGGCGGTAAGAGTATAAGCAGTAATCAGAAACATTACGGTTTGAAGATGTTATTCAAAGAGTATAATCCAGTGAAATAAATTTCCAAAGAGAAAAAAAGGAAGGGACATGAAGAATTCAGAAGGTTACAATTTGGGAGAACACAAAGAGTGGATGCATCTGCGCCATTGCAAACGAATTTTGAACCATGTCATTCAAGGTCTCTAACCATCAATTGCTATCATCTCGCGTATCCCAACCAGGTAGTCTACACCTACCAACATGGCTCAGTTCATATGTCAGTGACATCATGGATTTGTGCCATGTTTTGGTCTGGACGCTTCTAGCTTTCTTCAAACCTGATCTTACACCATAAAACATCGTACTTCGGGGCAGTCAGTGGTTGGACATACGTAACACTTGTCCCAGCCATCTCAACTGATGAAGTTTCACTACTTCATCAATTGATTTGCCATCCTTACCTAGCACCCGTTTCCTAACAACTGCGTTACTTACTCGATGGTCCCAGGATATACGAGCAATGTTTCGAAGACACCTATGATCAGATACTAGTAACCTACGAATATCCTCTACTCTTACCAGCCATGTTTCACTGCCATAAAGAAGGACGGAACGAACTGCTGCTCAGTAAACACGTCCTTTGTTTGGTAGAAGGATATCTCGCCTACGCCATAAATGACGCAAGTTGGCAAAAGCTAGTCGAGCCTTCTGCATCCATGGGGAGATTTCGTCACACACCAGACCACAAGGACTGATGAGACTTTTAAGATAAATGAAGCGGTCGACACGCTCAACTACTCCACTCCCTATCATTAGTTCGGGTGTCAATCCAACCCAATCCTGAAACAACATTTTGCATTTCGATAGATTCCCGACCGTAGCTGCTACCTTGACGCGGTGGTCGGGCTTACCTATCGTGATGATCCAACCGAGCTATATTGGCTGAAACACATGTTCCTGTAGGTTCTAACATGTCTGGCAGGTCGATTGGAGAGCGGTAAGAATAAAAGCAGCAACTTAAGGTCTGAGGGCGAAGTCGTACTGCTGACGGTAGACGGGTGTAACAGCAGTAAGGTGTTTCCCTCGGACAACCATCATCTGCCTTTTCATAAGGAAGGTGTTAGAGAAGGTTGACCCTAAAAATGTCACACTTCACCTTACCTCATGGATTTCCGTCTCCGGCAGTAAGGCATTTTGAAGAACGGAGCTAACACATTAAAAACCTCCCATGAAAAGGCCATGAGCGACCGACCTGAGGCAGTTGTCCCCTGGGCTCTGCATTCACGCTCCCAGGTTGCTAAGACAAACACTAATATGATTTCCTTTTCAGGTTCCTCAGGAAATACCCTTCCACGATGTGGGTAGCCGGGAAGTGATATCAGCCTTCATACCCGTAACAGCCATGAGACCAAGTTGGTCACGTTCAAATCCTTCCCATACCAACTAATAACTCACGTCCCTTTATCACCTCGCACCACTAGGGCAAACGATTCGTGTATGCGGAACGTTATTCCTGGTCCTCTGAAATGACGCTCTAAACTACACGTAGGGATTTTTTTGTATGTGATAATGACTACGTAGTGAGTACAGTGGTAGCTTGGCCGACAAAACTAATGGAGTTTCACTGATTAAGAGCTTCAAGGTGAATTATGACTATGCAGCAATGTAGGACCCAACAAACGTGTATAATTTCGTATACATCTCGTAATAAAGCGAGACGAATGTCAAACAAAGTAGAAATAGTTTCAGTGACAACAAAAAGAAAGAAATAGAAACAGAAACAATAGTTTGAGAAGAGGGAGCATAATATACGGACAAAAAGTGTGAAATATATTTCAGACTCAATATTTAAGGGTAGACTTAGACAATGTATCTGAGCTACTGCGACCGATTCCAAATATTGTCTTCCAACATCTTCAAACATTGGTGGCAATTAACGCACAGATCTCAACTAAGTACTACGGATTTTCAACAATCATAAACAAGAGTAGTGATAGAACTAACGAATTTCGCGCTACTATACATCGGTTTATCTAATAAGTTACACCCTAAGTGAGGGATTTGGCAGAAAATATTTGCGAAGACTGATATCTACTAGCTAAACCATTTCACGATGAACCATAATTTTTTTATAACTTGTGTATGGAAAACAGTATTGATTTGATGACCAGACAAAAAGCTAGCTGGAGCATATTTACAACGCTAAATGAGCAAAAAAATGGGAAAATGAAGCTCACCAACACCTCTGGACCTGAATGACGACGTAACACCCAAACTAAGTATGTATGCAACTCCGGTCGAAAGTGGAAAACTCGATGCAAGTAATTTATTATCCTGAAGCACATAACAGAAATGAGAATCAAAAACCAACATCAGCGCTACAGTTTCCCAGGGTCGTTACTGTCCCTACCAAGATACCAACTAAGTCATCACCTGAAACTGCTGCAATAGATATAAGAGATGAATTATCAAGCAGATCCTGAAACCAAGAGGATGGATAGCTTAACAAAGGTTATTTACAGAAAGTATACTTGACTGGAAAGCATTCCTCATATAGTGACTGCAACTTCATTACATCATATTTACAAACAGAACGGAATCTCAGAACGCTTATATCATCTGACTCCATCCTGTTTTCCGACAGACATGACCTTCAAAATTTCTCTAAAATAGCGGTAAGGTTACAGCCACGAGTGTTAAATCCAATATCCACTGACTTTTTAAATTAGACATTAATCACCTAACTAATAAGCGTTCATATCTTGCTTTTAATTTGTGTAACCCATTTGAAATCTTAGTTTATTCATCTCCAGTTTCAATTTACAAAATTCCTTCAGTTTTACGTTCGTAATTAGCTGGTGTATCTTTGTTATGAACGTGAACTAATCAGTTAATTTCTTTGAACTCACCTCTTAATGCTTCCGTACAGTTCAATTTCTTTTTAAACTATTGCTATTCTCTATAACTTCAATTACTAAGTTTAAGTGCACTATATGTGTCTAGCTAGTTATCGGCCTTTTCTCTTGTTTCTTTTTCAAACTTCCTTAGGAATGCTGTTCTACACACTATCATACATTTCGTCTGCATACCAGATGCGAGCAGCAACATATTTGATTCGAATCACAGACGGCTCTAGTAAGAAAAATTCGACCGTCTAATCTAAGCGCATAATAAACGGGCATTCCCAGATTTTCTGTTCTCACTGATGTAACATCTATTCGCTCTGTGGCAGTGGTTTTAATGGTTGATAACTTCCCATTTCAAAAATTTAGAGACGTTAAAGATATATTGTGTTTCGCAACACTGATTTTAATTAATTTTTTGGATTAGAATTTGTGAATAAAGAGATGTGTAGATATACGTGGATACTGTTTGATACATTGAGGTGTATGTGATCTTAGCTGACTATTTGTTTCAAGTGGTGGGCAGCAGGGTATAATGAAGTATGGTTATTTCAGGGTGTTTGACCGAGCGTCATTAACTAGGGATGTGTAAACCATTATTAGAGACGACTTATGCGAATAGTTGGCGTTTACTCGAACTGGATGGGAAAGGTTTTTGCGGACCGTGAATCTGACTCCATTTAGATCGTAAGAATGATTGTTATCGCCTTTTCTCGTATATCATCGTCAAATTAAATCACATTAGTCAATAACGAAATTAAATAAGTCAAATAACAAGAATTGACCTGTGCATACATATATTTTGTATATGAAGCGAATGAAACATAGCAAAGCAAAATGACACGTATGGAAGATGGCTGTGAAGCCAACTCCATTTTAGTCAAGCGTTACTCAATATTTATAGGCATACAAAATAAACTACAAACATGTGATGAGTCATGGGATATGATGTGTACACACATATACGCTCATATGAAAGCAGTCAAGACTGATAAGCGAATGATTGACAAGGTCAAAATATGACTCAAGTAGAATGAATAGGATTGAATGTCCAAAAGCTAGAATAAGATACATGGGCTTAAAATATTGACTGATACTACAAGGTGTGACCTCTTAGAAGAAGCACGTAGTTAAGAGATCCACGGCGTGTGGTTGATAAATGTGCGCTAGTAACTCTCAAGACTGACGGTACTCTTTAAATGCTCAGTGATTTCCTGCACAACGTAAAAACGGAACAGCTTGTTGGGTGATATAGATCGAGCTCACTGACATTTCGTCGAGCTACAGATGTGTTCAGTAAGGCTGAGGACCTTCAAAACTATTTAGTTTTTGGGACTTATTTACAGCTGCAAATTGCCACACCATCGTTCTTTTCCTTGATCACCTGCTTTTGTATTCTTAGTAAATAGTAAAGTCAAAGGGACCGATGAATATCGCGTCACTAGATACTAGTGTAATATATTGTTTTGAGTCGGGGTATTACTCTACATTCGTCCGGTTCAAAATGTCATCTAAATCAAATTCTAATGGCAGCGCATCAAATTCTTGTTTAGTATTCCAGATTTTACTCCGCAGAACTTACTGTAATAGTTAACTGAATTAAATTCTTAATCAACATTTCAAAATCCGTTGAACATAATAACCTATACGTAACATTTACCAAGGATGTTATTTTTGGTTGTCGTAGATTGTTATTTGTTATGAGAACATAAAACTCGCTTTGTTCTGCTAAAAATTCAGAGAATAATAATTTATTTTCTAATGAAAAACATTATAGAAAATAAAGACTGATATTTATTGCTTGAATGATCAACTCGATCAGTTGGTTGGAAATAATGTCAGAAACCCTCCCCCATGGATGTATATAAATTCTCAACTCGGTTAACTTCTGACTGACTAAAACTGTTCAGCCAATAAACTAATCCAAAATTATAAATGAAAGGTTATTTATATCTTGCAGAGTCGCTGATGCTGCAATGCTTTTTAAAAATTACATTATCGTGATTAATAGTTATATAAGGAATAATTGGTGTGAGATCGAAGTAAGTCTTAATCGTGAAACTTCAACTCAAATTTTATCGATCCATACATTTCTGTGCATCAGAACGGATGGAAACTTGTATATTAGCTCTATCAGATTATGTTGTGCGCAAAAATCGATTAGTGAAGGGTGCTCAGCCATAACTAACATGAGGTGATCAAAAGACCCCTTCAAATAACCCTCACTTTATTGACCTTCAGTTAATGATGTAGGTCGTATTGAACCAACGTAAATCATGACGAAATATATCGTGTTGTTCCCTCTAGCAGAAATTTTTCAATCACTTCATACTCTTGTAAAATACGAATATTTACAGAATTCCAAACCTTCACAAGTATTTCAATTGCTTAAAATAATTCTAAAATATATTAATTGTCGTATTTCATCGTTTAGCCATGGAGAATTGCGAGCCGCGTCCGTAATTTATGGTAGAAAAAGCCAAAACCAGTTGACTTAACTATTGCACTAGACCAAAGTACTTTTAAAAATTGACTAACAGTATTAAGTTAAAAAGTTTCAGAATTATTTCACTGTTGGATTGCGTTGGATCATACTGGAATACACGGAACAATACATCACATTTTATTGGTATGCCTCCAGTTCTTAATCCGGCTGTAAGATCCAAACTATGGTTTGGACTGCCGGACAGCTGTCTGGATGAGTTAGATACGCGCCCTCGCCCGTTTGAAACAAAAACAAAGTAATTGGGTAAGATGACGGTTCTATAATTTATCATAAATTTTACTGTACATTATTACCTAAACAAATATAACCACTCAGCTATCCAACCAATAATTGTTCAATTGATCAAATCTAAGCTACAATAAATAAGAAAAGTGATAAAGGATGCAAGAAATTTACCAATCACCACAAATAAATGTTATTCTATCCTGTCTGGATAGATCACGTACAGATTCGTTCAAAAGGTAATAATTGGTCGCTCTATAACACAGAGTGTTTTCAATTCTGGAAGAGTGCTTCAATTCACAACCAAAATGCACAAATCCAGTCAACACAGGTCAGGCAATCAAAAGCAGGAATGAACCAAAATGGCTGCCGCCCAGACTTAGTATAACGCAAGACAACATAAGTGCAGTTCGGGAAGAAACATGGGAAATTAGTGAAGGTGTAGTAAAAACGAAAACTATAATAAAATACAAATATTAACAATTCTAAGGAAGCCAAAAAGTTAACAGTGTACAACTAAGAGGATCAATAGGAACAAAGTGCAAGTATAAAAATGGAGGGATTTTCACAAACACACAAAGCATTCAAAATGGATCTTACACCGGCTTTCCAAACATTGATGGGCAACAATAATTAACAGTAATAACAAACACTTCATTATATATTATACGCTAAGCACGATATGGAACTCTTTTGGATTACTTATATTTTGTCTTGGGAACCTCAATTAGAGTACTACAAATCTGATCCACCTACTTGTGTAAATGCCATCTCCCTTAACCAATAGAAACTTGGGATACCGTTTCTGCTAATTAAATATGATCTCGAGCCTAGAAATCAAATAATTTAAACTGAGGTCTGATAAATTCCACTTTCTTGCCTTTTATATATCCGTTTGACAAAGCGTCGCGCAGGCTGTTAGCCGTCAAGTCAAAAGCATGCTCAAAACAGTGATCGGATGAGCCGATTTCGAGTTTTAAATACGAAATATTATGGTTCGTAACCTTTATCGTGACTAAGTTTTGTTATCCAGAACAGTATCACAAGTGTAATATTTTCATTTATTTGTTGTAAATACGTTCGACACGATTTTGTCATTTCTTGTCATACTTTTATTTCATTTATTTTTGTCTTAGAAACTCAGCTCGCAAGATATAGCATTCTAATTTGATGAAGTCATGTTAGTTATCCGCTTTGAAAGTTGAACGTTTTAGATTTACACGAGTATTCACCTTTTTATAATAATTAGAAGTATTCGAATTGATGTGCTAATAATTACCGAAATAGTGCTGCTTAATGCAGTTAGAACTAGATGGGTACAAATGAACGTTTTATATTTGGAATTCGTCATCAGCACGCTATCAAGTACAATGGAATTATCAGTAATTACAAATATCATAGCATTGCTTATTCAGTCTATCTGTCGGCCTATTTTTATATGTGATTTTAAATTTTAAATCATGTCCAATTAATTCGTGCTGGTAATAATACCCAATTCAGAGCTTGCTTAATGTCGGCCTAAAGGAATTTCTGAAGTAAAATCCTCCACTTTTCGATATTTGAATTTTGTTACCACTATAGATCACCAATGTGAGTGACCTATATTGATGCCCGTGGTTTACTCTAATTGGACGAGAACTGTATAACCTCATAGTTTAAGTCGAAACCACACCTCGCGGTTAATACTCAACGGGGTTAAGCCTCTCGTGGTTTTCAGGTACTGCAGATACTTTAATGACCATGTGGAACATGCATGACGTTACCGAGGAAATTTATTGGTTGAAATATGCGGAAAAACAAAATGTGGCCACTAAATAAGAGCCCGTATGTAGCATACAATTGAATGAAACACGTTGGTCATCCATGTCCTTGAATAGAATCGGTAAACTACTTAACATTCGTTGATCTTCCTGTTTGACGATTTGGCTAGAGTTTGACTACACTTTAATGGTCCTTCATTATTGCCACTCAATAGACTTGGTCTAATTATTATATACAAAACTAAACGAAAAATTATATTTCGTCATGATTATTGAGATCAAAATGGTACAATACACTGTAAAAACGAAGATCTGATAGAAGTAACGTATATGCATGAACCAATCTCACTTCTGCATAAAATTACTACACTACTATCATTGATGTTAGTTCGTAACGAAATCTAAGCAATTCCTAAACATATATCCAATTTTAATGTTAAAAACTATTCATCATTAATTATAGCTATATTACCTTTTTATCATAAATCATTTCATGACTAAATGGTATGAACTCGTCGGCTAAAAGGTAGTTCATTCTCGTCCATATGCTATTCATTCCACCAAGAGATCTAAACCGAGCTTCATCCATTTCTTTATTTTATTGATGATCTACAAACATAAATTCATGTTAATTTTTTGTACGCGCTTATTAACTTTCCCACAGTCGCATGTTAATATCTTTTCTTGTCATTTTTGTCCGTGCCTTTATGATATTGATGTATTTTTTGTATAATACACTCATTCACTCCCCACATGACACTGTACTCTATCAGATATATTACAATCTTCTCCACTACTTGTTGTTAATGCTAACTATATACCTCTTCAGTGTCATTTTCGAAAACTGGGGAGGGCGGGGCTTTGTAATGGCCAGTCCTAATGTTGAGCCCAGTGAGGTTAATCTAGTTTTTGGACAGATCATTCATTCATTCTTCTTAAACCATACTTTGAACTTGTCACTTACTGACTTATTAAACTTCATTGTTTTTATGTAGACGTGTGTGTGCACTTCCTAACCGACTCATCAGATATCTGTAATTTATTTATGTCTGACTATGAATATCGATTAACACCTGATTATATCGAGTCAGCTCACTCATCTTCTCCATTGTGTGTCATTTTGTTTTGCTTCACTTTCTGATCAACGGTAGTATGTGAAATACACATCTCCAAACTTCCTTCTCATATTTGACTTATTTAGTTCCGTTATTCATTAACGCAAGTTTAGTCGATCAATATACATGAGAGTAGCAAAGATGTATATTTCAACAGCAACCATTTGTTCAATCTAAGTGAAGTCGTGTATAGGGCCACTTAGAGGGATATCTGATAGCGAGTAATTATAGAGTCGGGAGAATCTAAGAGATTTTGACCCTTCCGACTTTTATGTAATCTATGAATATAATTGTTTTAAGTTTTGTGACATCCACTTGTGATATACTTATTACAGCAATTCATTTAGTTTTGTTTGATTCAGCACAAATATCTACACTATTTTGGATTGCTTATTTACCATCAAATACTGAAAATTAATAAATAAACACTTACGTGTATTAAATGTACTACTCTATTGAGTCACCTGACAATCGACATGATCTTTACGGGTCTAACATTTCGTAGGATTAACTGAATATTCAAGAGTTGTCATTTCTGAGAATAACCTCACCATGTTGAGATATTTTTCATCAAGGTAACGTAGTTCTTAACCCTCATTATGTTTAACAACAAATAACCATTGATTTGTCATTTTCTTACATTTTGCTTCTTTTCTGAACATATTTATTTTAACACATGGATATTGGTACAAGGAGACACCAAATACATATGCGCCACACCGATCTCATTTGATATGTGTGAGGGCTGTGACACTGCCTGGTCGCCCAAAGCAAAGCAGGTGGTACAATTAGGGGACCATACCTGGAGTCTTCAACCTGAATGTCGGATCCACAAGGCAGTGGAGCATCATAAGGAGATGCAGTCCCATGGTAGCCGATGACCAACGATTGATTCACAAGCCATTAGTTGCCTAAGGATACTGGAACCCATGTGCACCGTTGATTTGGAATCAGGGTTTTCCAACTCCTCTAGATGGACTCTCCGTGTCCACCAACCCGGTTACAGCGTCGGACATTCGCTTTTCGTCCTCTCGTAAACAACACCCTTGGTGCAAGAAGGCAGTGAGTAGGACTTCCCTAGCAGAGGCTATATACGCGTAGCCATGTGAGAGTATTTGTAAAGGGTAGGCTGACTCTCCCCACTCTCGGTCGTACCAGGGCATTTGAGGGCCTGCGCATATTTAAAGATCATCTGCCAGTATGTAGATGTAAATTTCATGTTTAGCGAAAAGTGTAATAATTTTAGCTGTATGTTCATAATGATACATTTACTCGGTGGATCGAAACTTGTTTTATCCAGATTTACTGTTGATAAAATCGAAGAGTAAAAGAAACAATATTAGAACTAAATCAATAGTGCCTAGTTGAATACATGTTTAATAATCAATGAAAGTACTTTAAAATACTTATATAATATCGACTTATACGTCCTGTAACATGTGATATAAGTTCTCGTAAAATATTTTTGTACTAATTTTACCGTTATGATACCAATATAGTACCAAACAGTATTGATCACTTACTAATTAAGACCTATTTTCGGACAAGGAAATTCTAAAAGGTTAAACAAGTATATCTACAAAACATGAATAGAATCATTTACTTCCATCCACTACTTAGAATGAATAATTAGTAAGATCTTTTTATACCGAATGATCAATTATTGTTGAGAATGTTCTGCTGAAGAAGTTAATACATGATATTAAAACAATAATGTGTGGAAATATCGATCAAAAATGCTAATTGTTACTATGCACAGCAATATAAATCCTTTAATTTGTTTTCAAAGTGGAACACTGGAATTATCCCATATAGAAATCTAAACATAATTCCTTTGACGAATTATTTACTTCATAAATAAATAGATAAAACTTGCTTTATATGCCTGACACAACAGTTTACTTATTAAAACAATCTAAGTCATACCCAATATTTACATCCACTTGGTATTGTTTGTTTGAATTTTCCCATCGGTGTTTAGGACTACAATTGATCCGTCTCTTATTGGCCATATATGCAGACTGTGCGTATTGTCTTGGTTCACAAGCATTATATGCAAAGATAGATAGTGGCTAGCATAGGAATCCAGGACGCGCGTTTCGTCCTATTTGGGAATCGTCAGCTGGATGTACCTGTACTAAATAGGACGAAACGGTAGTCCTAGATTCCGCTGCTAGTCAATATCCAACTTTATCTAATAGTTATTGTTTTAAACCTTTCATATCTATATTACATTCTTAACTAAACAAAAATAAAGTTTTGGGAACTTTATTGTTTGGTTTAATGTGTTATGAAAACAGAAGTACTCTAGACTACCAAGTATTTTTCTACAGTACTCTTTGTTAAGTGTATATTGGATTTCAGTTTGCCCCCAAATGTCCTAGTACGGCCGAGTGTGGGAAGAGTTCGCTACCCCTATCGAAATGCTCTTACATGGTCACGCGTATTTAGCCTCTGCCAGGGAAGTCCTACTCACAACCTCTCGACGGGGGTGTTGTTTACAAAATGGAGAGGACGAAAAGAGAATGTCCGGCGCCTTAAACGGGTTGGAAGACACGGAGAGCCCATCCAGGGGAGTTGGAAAGCCCCAATTCCAAATCAATGGTGCACAGGGGTTCCAGGATCATAAGGAAACAGATGGCCTGTGAACCAAAAGTTGGTCACCGGCTACCACGTTGCTCCACCACCTTGTGGATTAGACCTTCAGGTCAAAGGCTCGAGGTGTGGCCCCATAAGAAAAGCACCGCTCACTCGTACACATGCTTGAATATGGTGCTTACAATAAATAAAATCATAATGATTAATTAGTGTTGAAAGACAAGATTTCACACAAATTATTAATTATCAATTTAGGAGATTTGTAGTATTCTCAAAGTTGAATTTATAAGCCTATCTAAGCTAGACCACCACTAAAAACCTGAATGACCGTTTCGTCCTATCATGTGACTCCTCGACAGTGGGCATCCACGATCACGCACGTAGGATTCGGTCTCGCGTGCGAAGGCCTAACCTTTAGACCACTGAACCGGGACCCAACGGTGTTAATGCCAAACTTCGATCAATCGGTGATCTTGCGCAAACCTTCATTCGTTGTCTGAGTTGGATAACTGCCTCACACGATGGGAATGCATCTGAGGTATGGCCCCCCTAAGAAAACCACCTGCTTCGGTTTGGGCACCCGAGCAGTATTATAGCCCATACACAGATTAAGTGACTGGTGTGGCGCATACGTATTTGGTGCCTCTTTGTACCAATATTTATGTATCCAAATAAATAAATAAGAAATGATGACTACTGAGTAAGTAGAATTACAAAATATATATGATTTAACTTAATTTTATCTTAAAAATGTAATGATATGAGAATACCGGTTCATGCACAATTATGTCGGATATTTATAATAATTACAACTGACCAACTTATTGTAATATAAATAAATAATTATTAATTTCAATGGTTAAGATCATGAGTCAATTGAAGTTAGACCACCATGGAAAACCTGGAAGCACTGGATGACCGTTTCGTTTTATTGTGGGACGTCCAGTGCTTCCAGGTTTTCCATAATGGTCTAGCTTTAATTGACTCGTGATCTCAACCATTGAAATGACTATAATATCCACAATAAACCCTTCTGATACAAATAACTACTATTAGTTGCAAAAGCATACAGTACTACTCTACTATTCATCATTAGAAACTTACTATAATCACTCAATAAAAAAAAAAGATTAAGAACTATCAATAGACTATATACTTTGATGAATGATGAGTAAATTAACAAGATGAAGAGAAATGTAATCATAACAACTTCTTTTCTCTTTTTTTTTTTGTTGTTTAACTAAAATAAAAATAGGGAGCAAATACTGAATTCTACAAAATATAGGCAATGATTGGTAACTAAAAGAAAAAAAACAACCCCGATTCAGTTAAAAAAAAGGGGGTGAGGTTAGTCTTTAAAATAATTTTTTTTTAAAAAAAAGAAAGAAAACAACATTAGAGAGAGAGAGAGAGAGAGAGCTAACAAGTTATAGGCATAAGTACAAAATGAAATGAACTTGTTCTTAATGCATAAATCCATACAAAAAAACTTCTTATTTTAAACGACGTAAGTAAAACCACACAGCAACAGCTATCACAACAACACTAGTACTAGTCAAAATGAATGGAATAAATAAATTGGAATCATGATTAGAATGATCAAATAATGGATTATTCGTATTATGATCATTTAACGATGCATTTTGTTGGTGATTTTCATCAGTATGAGAAATCATATTTGATGGTGTTGAATGATTCTTCGTGTTTATATTTTTATCATTATATGTTCTATGAGATTGTAGAAATTGAAGAATTCGCTAAAAGGAATAATAAGTTATAATTAATAAGTGTAAAATATAATAATATTTGTGAATTTAAATTAAAGATCACTTTATATCTTTCTTTCTACGAACTAATTCTTTCTTCCTGTACCATATCCTCATATGCAATCTTTCTTTTATATATTACTATCATTGAATCAACTACTTCTATGAATGCGGTGTTCATCTTGTTGTGTTAATGAGGTATGGCAACTTAGACTGATGCATATATATGTGTGTAGCTGTTGTTGTAGTAGCTGATTGACTGAAATTAAATTGAGTTCTACATCTATAAAGAGTTTGAATATGAATATCAAATGAATTAGATCATTGTAGTGGTTCAATTAATCCTGATAGATTACAAGAGTTTAATGGAATTATTACGCAGTAATAGAAGATTTTCTTAGCATTTGTTAACTTATGAACCATACTAGTTCCCATCGAACAAAATACCTAATAAAACGTTAGATTTTGAATATTCAAGAGTTACTTGGTACTGATAGAACCAGTGAGTGAAGAATGATAGCGTTGGAAATGAATGCTCAAACAAAACGACTTGAAAATTAGACTCAATCACTGAAACCATATTAGATAAATCGTGCAATAAATTCAGTAAGTCACTAGCTAAATATACTATCTCTTTCATTTCTAATTTGTGTGGTAGTGCCTGGTTGCATTCGTTAGAACGGTAGATACATATGAGTTGTGATTTACTTTCACATCTTATTTGAATTGACTTTTTTATTGTCACATTTGTTAAAGGTGAGATTTACTGAATCGATATACCACTACTACCTATGATTCTATACACAGTCCAACAAACACATAACCCAAAATGAGTACGCAACAGTATGGGGTAAGTAATAGTGAGGTTAGACGCAGAGTATTAGGGAATGATGGTAAATTAGTTGATGAGGTTGTGAATCTATATCGACTGAGATGGTTGGGCTACGTGTTGCGTATGCCTGAACACCGATTACCACGACGCGCAATGCTAACCGGTGTTGGGGATGGTTGGAAGAAAGTCAGGGGTGGCCAAACCAAAACGTGGCATTGGTCCTTGAAGTCACTAACTTCTGATCTAAGTCGTGCCGGTAGATACAAACTACTTGGTTGCGGTCCGCACGATTATCGTAACCAATCGTTGGAGACTCTGGGTGACATGACACAGAATCGATTAAAACGGTGTAGGTATATACACTCTTTGTCTTCCCTTATAGTGTGAGATTAAATTTGCCTTATACGTTTCTTTCGATGAACTAATTCCTACTCCCTGTACCATATCCTCATATGCAATCTTTCTTTTATATACTACTATCATTGAATTAAATACTTCTATGAATCCGGTGTTCATGTTGCTGTGCTAATACGGTATGGCAACTTGGACCGATGCATATATGTGCTTGGTCCTATGTTGTAGCTGACTGACTGACACAACAGTATGAAAACATGTTTCTTATAATCGTCTACTAACACTTTGTTGGAATTCATGAAATGTTTTAAAAAAAAGACATTTAGTCTTGTGAAGAACTAGTATCATTAATACAATGACGTGTCTATGACACATGGCATCATATACCTTTAATGATAAGGTTATGAGAATAACTTTACTTAATCTCCTTTTAGCTTACTAGATAGAATAAATTAAGGTATATAAAAACTGAATTTCAAACATAATAAGCTGAGGTTTTTAACAGAATTCGAAGTAAAATCAATCAATGTTACATTTAATGATCAACTAAGTAAGGTTTACCGACATCCCTCTTAAATTTTTAATTTTACTTGACACATTATAAACCGACCACGGTCTCAATAATCTCCACAACCCTACACTGATAATTATTATGTGCTCACTGGTAACTAGCTTCGAGAGGTAATTCTCGCAGTTTTAGTGAGAAGCCGTGACCAGTACAGTTCAAACGTATCGTGTGACAGTTAATCGCCGCAGAGAATAGATAAGGGTTTGTTATAATCTCTTTCTTACGGTTATGACCCAGCTATTCCTACTGCTTAGTATTCTCGGACACCGATTCACTCGACAAGTCCCCAAATCAGAACACGGTTGAACAGGAAAGAGATTATATTCCAAATAACAAGGTTAGATGGAAGTAAGAAGCAAGTCAGAAGCACATTAGAGAAAACGTCAGTATATTCATAGTTTTTACATGAGAAGATTCTAGAGTGTTCACTATGTGTTGACTAATTCTGATTAGATAAGAATTAGTTAATCAGCGTGCACCAAAGCAATCGTGCATTGAGCATGCTTTAATCCAGTCTATGTCCCGCTAACAGGGTTGAACAATGTAGCGAATTAATTTAAGTTAGACACTAAACAGTTTATGATTCAAACTATGAAGAGATTATTTCTGTCTTTTCTGAAAAAAATATGTCCAATATGAATCTATCGGTATTATCACCAGCTGCTGTGAAATTTTACTTCGATTAACAGCGAACATTTTACAACCCGTTCTTAATAACAACGGTACAATTCAACTTAAACAAAGAAAATACAACGTGTGATATCTAATCAGTCTATCAAATATACACAACGTAGAACCTGAGACATATCTGCATCTGTTCAAGTAGTCACATACAGCGACATGAAATTGTCAAGGGAAATCTCAAAGTACTACAGACAGTAACAACATTGGCGGTAATAGAGGAGATTAAGCACATAAGTTATTATTTGAAAGGCAAATATGGATTAGTGGAAAAGATTTTATGAGATTATTTAGAAACTCAGGATCTAGGGGAAAACGAAGAGTGAATGAATTTACGTCATTGTGAATGGTTCTGAACCACGTGAATTAACATTTACAACTGTTGGCTAAGATGACTCCAACCCCAACCAAGTAGTCTGAACCTACCAACATGACTCAGGTCAGTCAATGACTACACACGTTGGTGTCATGTCATAGTCAGACCTCCCCTAGCTTTTTCCCAACCTAGTCCTATACCAGCCATCATCACACGCCAAGGTAGGCATTTGTAACACATATTCCAACCATCCGAGCCAATAAACACTTACTACCTTACCAACCAGTTCGTCAACTTTACCTAGTACTCTCTAACTAGCCTCACTATTGCTTACTCGGCAATCCCAAAGTAAACGACCTATATTGATCCGAATAATTATGACTAAAGCATTAAAAAACAATAACCTTGATGCTAAACTAACATTTGTGTTAGCTGCATACTTCAAAAAAATTTCTACCGCTGGAGGTGGAAATAAGTCGGTGAGGTGCGACAATTTTATGCTCAGCTTCTTCTAGGCTTTCCTTTCGTTGTGAGAAAACAGTAATGCTGTATGTGCTGGTTGCCTGATGGAAACATCTTACTGATGTTATACTTCTGTACGGTCAGCTGGGAGTACATCCCCCTCAGAACTCTAGGAATGGGATATCACATTGAAAGTTGGAAGCTGAAATTTTATAAGAAACTTATCGACAAAAAGAAATGTAACATACTATTGAAGATAAATAAATAAAAATGACTTCCTAAAATTACCAAAAACATTATACTTACCCATCCTCCTTGTTGAGCTATCCAAACGAAAATATTGATTTGTCGACAAAAACTGACTAGACATCGACATACTTGATAAAATGCGTTGGTAACACCTTTTTTAACTCGTTGCACTACTAACCGATAACCAAAATAGAACAAAGTGATTACTTGACCCCAGTTAGTTGGACCACGAGCAAATAGCCTAATATCGTAATATTATGTGAGAGATAGATAATAAGAGGTTAGCTACTCAATAACAATTAAATGCTATTCGAAAATAAAATCATTATAATATAAACTATTTTATTGTTCCATTAAGCTACTCGTTGTTGTAGTGACTTTCAAGAAGTTAGTGGGTCGATAAAAAAAGACATTACACCTATGTATGTTACAGAGTACTGTCCAGGTATATTATAATTACTAATAAGATGAATCAGATGGAGATTTTCGAACTCCATACAGTAAAGTGGTTGGAACGCATACAGTCAGTCAGTCAGGTGTGCTGTTACGGGTATGAGGGCTGATGTCACTTCCCGGCTGCCCACACCGTGGAAGGGTATTTCTTGAGGAACCTGAAAAGGAAATTGGATTAGTGTTGGTCCTAACGACCTGGGAGCGTGACCGCAGAGCTCAAGGGACAACTGCTTGAGGCCGGTTGCGCACGGCCTTTCTGTGGAAGGTTTTTAATGTGTTAGCTCCGTTCTTCAAAATGCCTTACTGCCGGAGACGGAAATCCGTGAGGTAAGATGAGGTGTGACATTTTTAGGGTCGACCTTTTCTAACCCCACCCCTCCTTGTGGGAAGGCAACATCGCTGTCATGCTGGTTGTCCGAGGGAAACACCTTACTGCTGTCACACCTCTCTACCGTCAGCAGTACGACTTCGCCCTCAGACCTTGAGTTGCTGCTTTTAGTCTCACCGTTCTCCAATCGACCTGCCTGGCATGGTAGAACCTACAGAAACATATGTTCCAGCCAATATAGCTCGGTTGGGTCATCACGATAGGTAAGCCCGACCACCGCGTCAAGGTAGCAGCTTCGGTCGGGTAGAACGCATACAGCCCATTACTTAACCACCAACGTTCCCCAAATTTTATGCAAAATGAAAAAAAAAGGATTACGGCAAAAAGAAACGAAAAATCAGCATAGTGTGATATAATACCAACCCATGAACTCTCCCACTGTCACATAAACATCACGGATAAGTTCTGTAGGGTTACTGTAATCAATAAGTGTAATAGTTCAGGTACGGTCACATTACATTCACCTCTGGATGTACAATAAATCTATTACATACATTTTGCATTGTTATTAATTATAAGAAAATAATTCATCATATAGCTTAATATGTTATAAGTACTATCCTGTGAACAGTATTTATTGTTGAAAGAGTTCATAAATATTCATTATCATTTTGGTAGCAAGAAGTAGTCTGTTTATGCTTTGGAATGTCACGTTAGAAAATTTTGATTTCACTGACTTATATTTGTCTTTTTCAATAGTCCACCAGGTGTTTATATTATTTAGCTAAGAAAAGGATCGTTATACTTCTAAAAAAAAGAAAAAATTGCTGAGCTGCACTGAGACCCGCGTGATTGGTTCGTTTATTATGGTAGTAGTTTTAGTCTCGTCTAGATATTGATTAACTCGCCTACATTATTTATTTATTTATTTGAACACATAGATATTGGTACAAGGGGACGCCAGATACATATGGGCCACACAAATCTCATTAGATTTGTGTGAGGGCTGTGGTACCGCCTGCGTGCCCAAACCGAAGCAGGTGGTTCAATTAGGGAGCCGCACACAGAACCTTCGACATGAAGGTCGGATCCACAAGGCAGTGGAGCAATGTGAAGAGACGAAGTTTAATATTAGCCAGTGACCAACGATTGGTCCACAAGCCATTTGTTCCCTCAGGATACTGGAGCCCAAGTACACCATTAATTTGGAACCAGGCTTTTCCAAATCCTCTAGGTGAACTCTCCGTGTCCGCCAACCCAGTTAAAACACCGGATATTCGCTTTTCGTCGTCTCAATTTTGTAAACAACACTCCCGCCGCGAAGAGGCAGTGAGCAGGACTTTCCTGGCTGAGGCTATATGCGCGTAGAGTCGGAGGACCTATATTAATTTGCCATTCAGGTTGAACTGGAGATCGTGGGAAACCGAAGTGTGGCTGAAGGCCAGTCGAACTGATCCCTAAAGTGTTCTGCCCATCGATCCAATCTATTGGATTGAGAATGAATAATATGTCCATCTTTTTCGGAGATAGTTTCGCTAAGATTCGGTTTCCTAATACCGGTTTCCGTAACAAGTCTGAACAGTTGTCTGCTATTACCTATTGTCGCTGCCTTTTTCATCTCTTTTGCTTTCGCTACCCACTACTGTTCACGATCATTGTGTAGGCTTCTTGACAGCTTGTGCTGAAGCTGACTCCGCTCTTCCTCATGTTCAGATCCAAATGAAATGAGTTTTCGAGCATCTACCAGTGTGGTAGATGTTGTTGAGATCCAATGTTTCTCCCTAACTTTGTGGTTTACCGTACTAGCAGATATCACTGCTGTTTCCACAGCTTTTCGGATGTCATTCCATGCTGCTTCGGGGTGGGCACCAAATATATGGCTGCCTAACTGTTTTCCTAGTTGTTCCTGAAATATACTCTTAGCATGACTATCATTAAGCAGGATCCTAAGAGGTTTCCTTGCAGCGTCTTTCCTACCTCCATTACGACGCAGACAAATACACGCTCGCACTAGAGCATGATCCGAATCTAAGCACGTGCTCCAGAATGAGCGACAGTCTTTTATTGAGCCCCTCCATCGGTGGCTGATAGCAATGTGATCTATTTGGGTCCAACGTTGGGATGAATTAGGGAGTCGCCATGTTAAAAGATGTTTTTGTTTATGCTTAAAGTTATTATTTGCAAGAAACAGGCGGTTATCTTAACATAGCTGCAACAAACGGTCACTATTGTCTGTTCTTTGAGCCACGATGCTATAAGATCCACCCAGGTGTCTTTCCCTATCGCTTAGTTTACCTAGTTGAGCATTCAAGTTACCAGCCACTATTACTACATCAGAGTGCCTAGCCTTTCGGAGAGCTTTCTGTAAAACTCATCTTTTACATAATCTGAGCTGCAGTCAGTGGGAGAATAGGCAGAGACGACGAAGAGGCAACGACGAGTGTCCCAATCTTTCCGAGTCCTTAGTGTTTTGTCTAGTCGGACAGCGTACAAACGACTGTCTACTGGGATTCAGTCTTAAAGAAAGATAATTCTGTCCTAGGATTCGATGCTATACCTACGCCAGCCAGGTCACGGGAAGCAGCGTCAAGGCTTTCAGATACACGAAATGTGAATCGAGCTGGTTCTTTATTTTGACATGGTGAGGTCAAATGAATGACGCTACTCGGATCCTGTATGTGTGTTTCGGAGACGTAGCACACATCGATGGCGCGGGATTCTAAAGTTCTAGCTAGGGAAGCCTACTGTCCTATTTGGCACAGTGTTCGGACGTTAAAAGCTCCTACGTGTAGTTTAGAGCGTGGTTTCAGGAGACCAGGAATAGCGTTTCGCGTACTCGGATCGTTTGCCCTAGCGGTGCGAGGTGATAAAGAGACATGAGGAAGGTTAGTCTTGAAGATAATAGAGTTATTAAGCGCTGTCGGAAGGATTTGAATGTGACCAACTTGGTCTCGTGTGCTGTTACGGGTATGAAGGCTGATATCAATTACCGGCTGCCCACACCGTGGAAGGGTATTTCTTGAGGAACCTGAAAAGGAAATTGGATTAGTGTTGGTCCTAACGACCTGGGAGCGTGACCGCAGAGCTCAAGGGACAACTGCTTGAGGCCGGTTGCGCACGGCCTTTCTGTGGAAGGTTTTTAATGTGTTAGCTCCGTTCTTCAAAATGCCTTACTGCCGGAGACGGAAATCCGTGAGGTAAGGTGAGGTGTGACATTTTTAGGGTCAACCTTCTCTAACACCTTCCTTATGAAAAGGCAGATGATGGTTGTCCGAGGGAAACACCTTACTGCTGTCACACCCCTCTACCGTCAGCAGTACGACTTCGCCCTCAGACCTTGAGTTGCTGCTTTTAGTCTTACCGTTCTCCAATCGACCTGCCTGACATGGTAGAACCTACAGGAACATGTGTTTCAGCCAATATAGCTCGGTTGGGTCATCACGATAGGTAAGCCCGACCACCGCGTCAAGGTAGCAGCTACGGTCGGGCCTTGCAGATTAGACCTTCAGGTCAAAGGCTCCGGTCTGGGCACCTAGACTGTATCACAGCCTTCACATAAATCAATGATAACTGGTACTGGCCTGACTGTTATTGTTTGGCGCATATGTATTTGGTGACCCCTTGTACCAATGCTTGTTTTTAAATAAATAAACTCGGAGAAAAGCTGGTTCAGAGCTCCCAGGCTTTCAATTTTGCTCTAACAGTGGTCGGTTCCCAATCATAATAATGGTAAAAATAGCCAAAAATAATGATTACAGCAATTGAAAATTATCAACAAGTGATCATTAACTTACACACGGGCGACATTATAAAACATTTCTAATGGACATTCCTCCACTGGTAGTAATTTAATCATTCTGTCTAATCTCGGTCCATAGATACGATTGATTTCATCACCGATTTCGGCTAAATTACGGGCAACTATTGCTTCGACACTAAACAAAAGTAAAAATTTAATACATACTTAAAATGGTCAATAACTAAAGATAAGTAACAAATACATGAAAATGTTTCGTATAACACAAAGTGTTGATAGACCTTATTATGATATAACAATAAAGAATCGGAAGTCAAATATTGGATAGTGGCTTACAATCACTGAGTTACAAGTTCGACCACCCACAGCATTAAATTCGGTTTTAGCAGCCAAACAGTGGTAGAATTAAATTTCGCAAAAATAGTATGGCTTGAAGCTGAGTATATAAACCTATACTTGATAAATAATTTATATCAAGATTTTGATCTACAGAAGATACATAATGGTTAGTGTGTTAGAACATGATTCATACTTGTTTTCACAGGATTAGCCGTGTTGACTTTGTGTTTACTTGATAAACCAAAGTGAGAACACGTAATTTACTCACTGTTCGAATTATATCGATCAATTTACAATATAGCCACTAGTCTAAACTACTCGATATTGTGTCCAAATAGCTCAGTGGTAACCTTTGTGACACTGAATTAAGTAAATTCATGTTATGTCCCGATAAGCATAATGAATGGTAACTTTTGAGATCCATTTATGGACCAATATTAAACGTATATTTTTATCATATAATTGTTAACTAACTAAACTATTCATATTCATGTCCCTCTAATCATAAGCTTTATTTTGATCTATCAACTATTATTATACGACTTACCATTCTTCAATTATGCCCTGTCTATCAATCACTATCTCCCACATTCACAGCCACTTTTGGCTAAATCTTGTACAGATGTTATTTTCTGTTTTATTGGTACGATGTGGTCTGTCTGGTTGGTATATAAACCTAGTATGTTTGAAATAAATGATTCATATTGCATAAATTGTTGTTCTGGACTTAACTGGCTGGGCTAGGCAGGAAACAGGACCAATCACGACTCTAGGCTGCTCGTACGGGTTTTACGCGTCATTGGTCCGACCGATAATTCACTGTATACATTAACAGGGCACACAGGGCACAAGTTATAACAGTTCAAATCTCATGAAGAGCAGTAGTCCCCTAAAAATTCCAAATCCTCGTTGACGAGTGTCAAGTAGCATGGAATTTGGATCCATAAGATCCTAATGATTTTTCCTATTCTCCTTACATTAAATCTACACAGAGATTGGATGCATAACATCATCACTGGTCAACCATAAACTAGCGAATAACTTACAAGGTTAAACGATAATGAAAATTTAGAACCTATTTAAGTGAATAAACAGTGTGTTAGATTGTTAATGTGGATGAAAATCCTTCAGTTCCGGAAATCGATTATCATTCGACATACATATTTCAAACTGTTGCTGATTAACATGAAGTTTGCTGTAAAAGTAAATGTTAGGCTAACTCTGTCAGAAGCCCTCTAAGATTACGACCGGTGGTTAGAAATCCCACCTCATAAAAGACAACTCTATAGGTTTGCAACAACGTGTTCACCAGATGCACTCACAAACATGTACAAAACTACATAAATTTCATCAGATCACAATTACAAAGAATCGGACCGATCATATCACCATCAATAAAAAGTTCTACAAGTTCATCGTAGATGTAAGAAGAAAGAGAGAAGGTGGTGTAGCTTCGGATCACCACCTGGTGGGGGATAAGCTACATATGAAGTTAAACAAACATTGGACAAATGGACAAGCAACACTATAAAAGTTTAATGTAGTCTTCCTTCGAGATGTTAACAAACCCATTCAAAGATTATTCTCAGCAACAAGTTCTAAGCTTTACAAGATTCACTACACAAAGAGGGAGTTGATACGTAGAATAACTAGAAAGAGACTAAAGAACCAATAAATTCAACACGCCAGGAGGTGATGGACCACAAAAAGTACCAGCATAAAAAGCGGATTTCTATAGACACATTGGGAAAAATTCAAGAAAAAAACACAAGAAGACTAGTTAACAACAGCCAAATAAGAGCGGAGGAAACAAAAGAACAGGCTGAATAAATAGAATCAAACAAACGAGTGAAGAAGAGCATCAGAGCTGATACGAGTAAATATATGGATGATCTAACGACTACAGCAAAAAAGCTACAATAGAAGAAAGTTTTGATGGAGTTTTGTTCTCTGAGCTGGATGGTTTGGTCGTGGAGCTTTCATCGTTCCTCTGAACATCGTGATGATGTCAAGACAAGCCTATCACTGAGATTCAAGAACAGCGGAACAGGTGGGTAGACCGCTTGGAAGAGTTCTAGAGTAGACTGGCCCCACTGAATCTATCGGAAATCGAAGCAGCAGACACTGATCTCCCTACAGATGATAACTCATGAACAACAGAATAAATCGGAAAGACCATCAGAAAAATCAGGAATAGCAAAGCAGCAGGACAAGACATGATATCAGCTGAATTACTGAAGTCAGATATATAGGTAACTGCAAAGTTATTTCATGTTCTCTTCAAAAAGATTTCGGGGTAAAAGTACCAACAGACTACAAAAAGTAATGCCTTATTAAGATACTGAAGAATAATCTTAGTAAGGGTGAAAACTACAGAGGGATCCCAATACTGTCAGTATTGGCCAAGGCCTTCAATAGTGTTCTTCAAACGAGTGGAAGATTCAGTAGACTTCCAGCTTCCAGATCAACAAGGACTGGTTATGCAGTAATCAAATCGTGACACGGATGGTCGTGGAGCCATCAACTAAATAGAACTCATCGCTATACAACAACTTTCTTGATTATGAGAAAGTATTCGACAGTACGAATAAGAAAACCTTCAACAACATCATACGTAACTTTTACGACGGACTACACTGAAAAGTCATGCACAGAGGGCAGCAAACAGATGCGTTTCAAGCGAGGACTGGTGTTAGATAAGGCTTCTTACCCTCTTCTTTTCTCTTGCCACCTCAGGAGAAGCACGGAACAAAGTGGACACCTCGGACGCAGCTGGAAGATCTGGAGTTCACAGATGACCTACCCCTTTTATTCAGTACACAACAATACATCCAGACAAACATTGACGCTGTAGTAACGACTTCTGTAGAAATGCCCTTCAGAACTCATAAGGAAAAAAGTGGAATCCTGAAATATAAAATAGTGAGCAGAGACCAAATCACACTTGATGGGGAAACTCTAAAAGAGATGGAAGCCTTTGCATATTTGGGTAGTATCATTCACAAACGAGGATGATCTGACGCAAACGTGAAAATACTGATTGTCACAGCAATAGCAACATTCTTATAACCAGAAAACATGTTAAACGCAAAAGAACTGCCATCTAACACTCAATTCAGAACTTTAAACACAAACGTTTCATAGAGCTGAATCTAACTGCACGCGTGTGGTTTGAAAATATGGAATGATAGTTTTAAAGAAATCCAATTTCACTTATTCGGGTTAAATTTTTGAGAAATAGTGAGTTTGTTGACAACACTAAACAGAATATATTCTTTCCTCGACAACAGTTACCGGATAGGATAGTGTGTCAGATCGGATAGTGGTTATCTGAGATAGAAAACAAATATGGTGGGTATACAAGCATCCAGTTTAACTACAGTCCTCTTCTTCATATCTTGTGCATATTTTCTTTTTACTAAGTCTCATCGATTTTTTTTTGATTTGGTATTTCTGAAGGACAACAGTGTACAAAGTACTCATTCAGGATAGAACAGTAATTCAATTTTTTATTTAAGGTAAACGAATGGTTTAAATTACATACATCGATAAACAACCTACCTGTGTGGTTCAGCACGAGGTAAAGATGAAAGTTCGTGGCTTACAGGATCTTCAGACTCAGCTTGTTGACCTATATCTGTTACATGAATTGAAGCTGAAGCAGAAGCAGTAGACTGAGACGAAGATGCTTGAGCTGATGCAGAAACTTCTAATCTATAACGATCTATCATAAAATTGCTAAAAACTAGTTCTGATGAAGCATCTACTTCTTCTGGAGTACTTGGAGTTAGTTTTGAAACAACCTTTGGATTAAATACAAGGAATGAAACAATAATAGTAAAGAATTAGTTTATTATCTCTTTGACCCTAACGATTGCAACGTTAAGATGAAGTTGTTTATTAAAAGTTTGATATGCTTAATTTATTCATCAGGGAAAAAACCAAAACAACTTTATGAAGCAATGATAATAAACAAAATTTAAAGTTTTAGTTCATTTGCATCTTCCCATTAATGTTTAAGACTGCAGTTGATCAGTCTCTTTTGGCATATGTGCATCGTGTGCAGATTCCCTCGATAATGCCACTATATCATAAGCACTTTAAGTAGAGATCTCTGATTAAAATCAAACCAGTGGCTATCAGGACTCGGGAGCTAAGTGGACAACGTGATGATATTTGGAGCGGACGGTATTGTGTTCGAGTTTTGGAGTGAAAATCAACTATGGAATGCAAGTACACCCGGTTGATGAGTCCTAAATAGAATGAAACGACCGTCCTGAATTCCACTACTAGCCACCATACATATCTGCTTATAGGTCTTTAAAATTCGTGTACAATAAACTTTTTTTAAAAATTCAACTAACCAATGGATTTCAAATTGGAAAACTAATTAAATGGATATAATTAAATATAGGGCGGCCTGCTTGAACATCTGGGCTACCTGTTCCTGTCATCTAGATATTTCAACAAGTTATCTATTTTTGTTTGTTTTTATATATCAATATGTTTATTAATCACATGATGTATTCTGCTGCGTTTCTGAAAAGTGTACAACCTTTCGTTGTCAAAGTTACAAAAAACTCAATAAGAGACAATTTGGTTGCTTGCAATATACAGCGAAAAGAATGCACATTATTCAGATGTTCATTTACTGAACTGTTAACATCTAACTGGCGATTACTCAATATCTATCGCCAGGACCGACCAAGAAGAAAGAAACGGAAACTTGTTGAAATACTTTACGCTGAGAATTCTATATTGTACCAAAAATATAATATTGAATAAAGCTAATAATAATAATAATAATAATAATAATAATAATAATAATAATAGTGTGAAGTTGTCGATTAATACTTTTCACTGAACATAGATTCATGAGTATTTATATTTTTGCAATAGTGATTAGGTAGTTAAAGTACCAATCAATCAATTGCAAGTTTAAAATACATTGCATATACATTGGTTTGGGTAACCGGAATGATTGCTAACCCTCACTGAGAAATAGAATTTTGCTCTGATTTATTAATATTAATTTTAAAATTAGATCTTATCTACCTGGCTCTAAGCCATATTTTGTGATACTATCCAGCTACCGAAACCGAGGATGAAGCCGGGTCCATAACATATAATCTAATGGTTGTGAGTTGTACCTGTAACTACCGTTTGAAAGCCTTGGATTTAATAAAATTCGAAACAAATGAAATATTTAGTTAATGACATTTAATTACCAAGCTTAATTTAAATAAAAAGGATTATGCTGTATAATCTTTTGGTTGCAGTTTTGAATGTTAATCATCATTAGAACAGAGAGCTACTGTCTCAGGAAAGATTTGATTTTCTTTTAAAAAGAACTATACAGCTATCTATGACTTATAAATCTTCAAGAATTATTATTCAGCAGATATTAACCTGATTTTAAAAACGAACCTAGACGCCAATAGAAATTTGCAATAAATTTTAAGCTAGTGATTGTTTAGGGTGAAAATATACCTTACTAAAATTTTAATGAGAAGATAATAACTTGTTTTTAGATAGACATAAAACAAAAAGCCACCGTATTATGAATCCTTAATAATTATTGACTCACTCGTAAGTCAATATTGATAGTTACCGGCTTTGGGGATTTTAATGACTCTGAAGTACGACCACGTTGTCGGACAATATTACCAGGGTTCGTAGATGAAGAAGCAGAGGGATTGGCTTCATGTTCTACATCTGTATTAAGTACTTCAATAACATTATCATCATTATCTTCGTCTAAATCCTCTTCAATATTACGTATTATATCTGGCGGTGCCCCACCGGTTACAGCCACAATTTGTGCTGGTGAACAACGATCCAAATAAGTCGGCATTGATTGTTCAACAAACTTATTTACTGTCTTCTTATATTGATCGCTAATATTTAAAACTGTTTTGGTAACCTCATCATCCAATTCAGAATTCATTTGTGCTATATTACTTAAATTTGACTTTATAAAAGAATTATCAGTTAATAGTTTGGATTCTTGATCTGAATCAATTGAATGATTAGATTGTGAAGATAAAACTGGTTTTAATGCTGACAGATATTTTTCATTTTGATCAACAGATGAAGTATTTTTTGCAATTTCTTCATGATTCTGTAGAACAATACCAGTGATATCATTGTTTTCATCAACACTAATTGTACTGTTAGCATAAGATTGATTATTATTACTGTTATTATTATTAGTATTATCGTCATCATTTAGAATTTCTTTAGATAAACTCTTTGATCCCATAGATAAAACCGATGAATCATTATGATTATCCAATGAAGTGAGTACTGTTGGTGTTGATAGAATACTAGTGGAATTATCATACTTACTATCATTATCTGATAAATTATTATTATTATTATTATCAGATAAATCCTTATAATCCGATATTCCATTATTCGATGAAAATTCATCAAGAGAACTGTTGTAAAAGACACTGTTGGAATTATTCAACTGTTTCAAATCATGTTCACCATTTAATTTAGAAAGGTTTCCTTCACTGGAATACAGAATTTTATCCATTGAAGAAGCGGTTGTTGACCCAATACCATTTTCTTTAGTTAATGAATTATTTTCACTATCATTATTATCGTTACCCTGGTTTGATCGGATTATGATCACTTTTTGATTTGGTCGAGGTGTAACAATAGAAATTTGTGAGGATTTGAAAATATTAGCTGATTTTTCCGGAGCATAAACTAAAGTTACTCCTGTTTTCTTTTTGTGTTTTACTTGTTCTTCTTCTTCGTCGTCGTCTTTATCACCATTATCATAGTCATTGTCTTCTACTTCGTCAGATTTTGGGGATGAATTTGCGAAAGAGTTGGGTGAAAACTTATTCGAAGCAAATGTTTCATCTAATGAAGAATTTGCAGTTGGTGTAGACGAATCACTGGGATCAGAAATTGTCATAAATGATGTCTTTGATGATATCCAACTTGAATCTGCCTTTAATATACAATTTAATGTAGAAAGTATTCGATGAAATTGTAGGAAACAACATAGTAAACAACAACAACAACATAGTAAAAATAGGATATATCAATAAAATTAAGTATAAAATTACTAGAAGTCTTAAAACCGATCAATAAAAGGTTATGTTTCAGTCGGGCTGTATTCTCAAAGGTACTGATTTTTCGTTAGGGGACACACCCCGAGCCCTTGACCTAAAGGTCTGACCCACAACGCAGTGGAGCATCGTGAGGAGATGCAGTCCCATGGTAGCCGGTGACCAACGATTGGTTCACAAGCCATTTTTTCCCGCAGGATACTGGAGCCCATGAGCACCATTGGTTTGGGATTCGGTTAAAGCGCCTGACATTCGGTACTGATCAACAAAATAAATCCCTAGTAATAACACCTATTGAACTCAAACTTAATTTATATTTAAAAAACCGAATATCACTTTGAATGCAATTCAAAAACAGACCAGTGTCCAAAATGCGTATTATAAAACTAACAGGAAATGTTTTAACATTTAATCACTAATCTCTCGATTTGTGACATCATACTAGTAAATGGATCAGATCAGTTCGAGAGAGTTTAAGCAAACTACAAATCGCAAAAATCATATAATTATATACTGATTAGTTGAAGCAATCAAAATGATAAAGCAAGTATATAAGAAGAGTAATTATAACTAAGGTATCAAGAGAAATAAATTCAATGGAAATCCAAACGGACCAATGACAGATGAATAAGAAGAACAATAGTTAAACCTTATTCTGCTTAGTATTCTTGATCGATTCACTCACTCGATTGGTTCCTAAATCAAAAAGTGACTTGGATAGGATGTAAATATATTCTAAACAAAACAGCAAGTTCAGCAAGGAACGAATTAATCACATTTAAGATAGCGATTTTTGGAGCTACATTAATTCATCCATACATCTGAATACTATACACACATCATAATTGAGGTCCGTTCGTGATAAAAAACTTAATTCTACTTCTTAATCCGAACTTTTAGTTCTAACTCACAATCCTAGTCCTACTTCTTTACACTAATTTATAGCCCTATTTCAGTCCTAGTAAGTGGTTAAAGTTCCTTAAAGGCACTTTATTATTACTCAAATATTATCCATAAATTAGATTATCGATCAAAATGTCAATGTATGAATAAGCTTTATACAGGAATATTCTAGTCTAAACAACTCATCCGCTAACACTGATTGGTTGAAAATAAAACAATTAGTGCGCTCCACCAATACATTGTCTGAAAAATTATTTGATCAATGCTTCGTCAAGCCAACAGCAATCAAATATCGTATTAATCAGTTGTTAATATTAATATTCATAGAAAATTTATCACTGAATTATAACACATTAATGTCAAAAGATAAATCTAGAAGATTTGACGACTGAAGCTAATTCCCTATGAGAGTAAACACTACCAGAATGGATTGACAAACTTAAACAAATCACGCTCAAATTAATGATACACTATTCCAAATTAACGATTACTCAGATTTGGGCAGTGTCTTAGAAATTGGAGTGTTTGAGTGAAGACCATTAGGTCAAATGTTTAAACCCACTCAATCTAATTCGAATTGGACAGTCGGCTAGTGTCACTAGCCCTCACACATAAACTGGCGCTCAAAAGCCGATTACATGCACCGTTAAACGGGTTATAGTATTAATCACATTTTTACACATTATGGAGACTGGTGACAGTAAAGAGGTTCCTAAACCAACGTGACTGGGAACTGTTACATGGCCATTTATAGAAATCACAGAACATGAAAAAACATCTAATGATTCGATTCAATACTCGTATATCCTGGGACCATCGAGTAAGTAACACAGTTGTTAGGAAATGGGTACTAGGTAAGGATGGCAAATCAATTGATGAAGTGAAATGTGCAATGTTCAGTGGTATAGGAGTAGGTTGGAAGTTAGGGGCGGCCAGACCAAAATATGGCACAAGTCCATGAAGTCACTGACAAGTGGACTGAGTCATATTGGTAGGTGTAGACTACCTGGTTGGGGACCGCGAGATGATAGCAACCGATGGTTAGAGACGTTGAACGACATGGCTCGAAATCGTTTGCAATGGTGCAGGTGCATCCACTGTTTGTGTTCTCTCAAATTCTAATCTTCTGAATTCTTTATGTCCCTTTTTTCCTCTTCCCAAATTTATTTCACTAGACTATACTCTTTAAATAACATCTCCAAACCCTAATCTTCCCGATTACTGCTTATACTCTTACTACCTCTACCACTATGGGATTTGAATCGACCACTGCATCTCTGTGCCAATGTGGTATGGCAACTCGAACTGATGTACGTACGTACGAAGTTCTACGTTGTTACTGACTGACTGATTCGATTCAATATACATCACAAAGAAAATAATTAGATTTGAAGCGGAAGATGAGAAATAATATTGAAAACGATAGATTTCTAAACACATTAAATAGAGTTCAAGAGGAACAGATGAATTCAAGAAGAATGAAAAACACGAAATGATAATATTTATGTTAAGATTTAGGGAGCGATAAAGAATGATTACAACCAACTCTAGACCATAAAATCCAATATCTTTAAACATAGATTACAAATACCCTACCCCAGAATCTACAACAGAAGTCTACACTCACGAACACGACTCACTGTTTGAGTAGAACGCTTATTAGTAGAATAGTACGGAATAACCCCCAACATTGAACAATACATTACTATTACATCTGAAAAATATAATCATAACCCTAAATTTCTTTTACATTTTCTTTAGTTTATTTAAGAATTAAGCTAACAAAACAGTTAATCAGCTCAAACGAAGAAAATACTATGAAGTTGCGTGAAATAGTTAGAGTTAATTGCCAAACTAAGCAATACTTTTGACTGGAATTTTAAACACACTACATAAATCATATTAAAGAAAAGAACTAATCATTGATTTGATGTGAACTGACATTGAAATCAATTTAGATATCTTTAAGTTAAACATTGTCATTGGTTATATATTTGACTTTTAAGAGACATATTTAGGACAATAATCATACAAGGAATGTACAACACAGGGTATATATTGTATGAAATCTAATCTAGTTGAATAAAATGAATAAATACCGATTATTTTATGTATATATAATCAGTGCTAGTTTATGAAACCTAAATTGAGATATACTAAGCAAACTTACATGAATTTTGTGACAAGAAATATGTGAGTACATATTGAAAGGTGTATGTATTGACCGACCCCATTTTGTAATTGTGAGAGTCAGTAAAATTGTAACCGACGTTAACGATAGAGATTCTTATTCATGAGGATATTCAAAGTACTATTTAGGCTTAGTGAACTAGGGAGGTATTCCAACAATAAATGGAGAGTTTTAAGTACTGAGGTTAGCAGTTATTGGCTCATGTCAAAGATGCTTTCATAAGCTGAAAAAGTGAGGGTATGTTTTGTGTAAACTTCGTTACTTTCCAAACTGATTTGTGAAACATTGGCACCAGAAGCTTCAAAGTTTACCTGTCACTCAGTCAGTCATAAACAATGTAGAACCACCACATGTGTATCAACTTCCGTTGCCATATCACCACAATGAGATGAATGCCAAAATTATAGAAGTAGTAACATCATTGGTAGCAACAAAATGTGGCTATGGAGAGTATTATCTGAGAAAAAACAATGATTTCGTGAATGATTAGGTCTTGGATCTAATGTTATTTCGTGCTTTCCATCGGTTGATTACAACTGTTTCTTTGGAGCCTTACATTTCATGTTTAAATTTTCATAGTCTATGATATTGTGTCTTACCCTGCGTTTGACACTCAGTCAACTTTCCTCTGGATTAGTGAGAAGTATAGCGACTACGACCCGTGCACATGTAGTTGGAGGTACTTTGATGATAAAGTTGCGCCGGACCAGACTGCTGTACCCAACAAATGCCCCAAAATGGCCTGGTACGACCGAGAGTGGGAAGAGTCAGCTATCCCTCTTGAATCGCTCTTAAGTGGCCACGTGTATACAGTCACTACCAGCGAATCCCTACTCACTACCTTTTCGCGACAGGGGTGTTGCTCACGAAATTGAGAAGACCAAAACTGAACGTTCGGTGCTTTAACCGGATTGATGGACACGGAAAGTCTACATAGGGGAGTTGGAAAGCCCTGACTCCAAACTAATGGTGCACATTGGCTCCAAAATCTTGAGGGAACAAATGGCGTATGAACCTACAATTGGTCACTGGCTACCATAGGACGGCATCCTTTAACGTCGCTCCACTGCCTCGTGGATTAGACCTCTGGGCCAAAGGCTCGGGGAGTGGCCCCTAAGAAAACCACCTGCTTCGGTTTGAGCACGCGAGTAGTATTGCATCCTTCACACAAATCGAATGACAAAGTGAGGCGTATATATATTTGGTGCCTCCCTGTACCAATGTTTGCTTAAATATATAAATAATATTGATCGAAAGGTTACGGGGGTTGGTCGTAAAAAACTATAGAAAATGTTTTTTTGGTTGCTAGTATTTTAAACCCATGTCAATTCGTGCCATGAGCAGACCATAGTACCTCACTGATGTCATTTAAGGACGGAAAGGAAATCCATCAAACTTAAATGTGTAACGTGTGTAATAAGTATGGTCTTATGTACTCGGTTGAGCTACTATCCATTTGAGGCTAGTGATACAACTAGTTGTCTAAACTGAAGTGAAACACCATTTAAACCAATGAAACCCACTGTTCGAAATCTGAGTGCTTAAACCAATAAACCATTACAAAACAGCAAGTTACTTTCAACTAAGTGGATTTCAAGTCATATGCCTTTCGGTTTTCTTTACTACTTAAATTCATCTCTATTTTTACTTTAGAATGGTTGTTGGTAAGTTTCTAATTCGATATAAAACAAGACGAAATAATAGTGAAGACTTGATTCAGATTTTTGAAGAACACATTTGACTGATGGGAATAACAGGGCTGACTTTAATTCCATTGAAAGTGTATTACGTTCAAAAATGAAATATAATATACGTGTTTAAATACACTTCATTAACTACTTTACGCAGCACTTACATACAGTGTGAATACATAACATCCAAGTAACTAATATCAAAACTGAAGCTCGGTTAGGCTGACAGGACTATACTTATGGTAGCGATATAGGTCAGTCAGCAGCAAAAAAGAACCTGGTACATATGAGCACCACTTTAAATTGCCACGTTACATCCTCAAAATAAGACGAATACTAGAGTTACGGAAGTAGCAGTTGGGGTCCGCGTGACTATCGTAACCAATGGTTGAAGACTCTGGGTGACATGGCTCAGAATCGATCACAATGGCGTAGGTGTATACACTCTGTTTTCCCTTAAACTAAGAGATTAAAATCACTTCATACCTTTCGTTCTACGAACTAATTCTTTCTTCCTGTACTATACTTATATATGCAATCTTTCTTCTATATATTACCCCCACTGAAGTAACTACGTCTATGAATCCAGTGTTCATCTTGCTGTGCTAATGAGGTATGGCAACTTGGACCGATGTATATATGTGCTTGGTCCTACGTTGTAGCTGACTGACTGAATTAGCAGTATCATCGGTAGTAAAAAAGATCAGCAACATAGGATATTCAGGAAAAGGATGAATTCGAGCAACGAAAAGCATAGAATAGTTTTGAGACTCGGGATTTAAGGGTAGTAAGGGAACTAATACATAATGAGCTAAATATGATAAATTTCAATGCTGAATATCAAAAAGTAATCCACTCCCCACTTACTTCTAAGGGACCATCAGCAGTTCCATCCGTAGACATCTCGCTAAAATAAACGAAATATGAAAAAAACTATAGTCACTTAGATAAATGAACTGAACTAACATCAATACGAGACGAATAGTCATAGCAAGACGGTATCGTAAAAATTAGGTCGGGTTGATTTATGACTCATATGTATAGATATATACCATAACTGAAGTAAGGTGTAATTTAGAACCCAAGGTTTAAAGACTGTTAAGAAACTCAAATTTTTCCCTAAGCCAACACAAGCGAGCGGAAAAAAGGAAATAAAAGGGGAGCGCGTCAAAATGTCTTTTATTCCGCCTGCTATGAGAAAATAGTGCGAGATTTCCCCTTTTATCGCCTTGGGTTTGAAAGTTCGCTGAATCGTCTGCTTTTCGCCCAAATATATGCGAAACTGTCTAGTTTTCACATAAGTACACGCCGAATCGCCTGCCTTAATGTAGCTTGCTCAGTGAGCTCACAGAATGGGTTAAATATAAAAACATTGGCCTTGAGCAAATAACGCAGATTACCAACCTCTCATTTCATATAAGTGACAGATTAGTGAAATAAAACTTTCCGCTATGCATTAACATCAAATAAAAGTTAGTTTTTTCAGTCACTGAATCGGGATATTGAAAGCTGATCACAAACACGCTCACCATGGATCGTGTAATGCATTGACAAAAGCGGGTGTTTGATGGCAAAAGTCGACGAAAAAACGATGTTAGAACATACTAGTGTGTCAGTTTACGTCTATTCAGGGGATCATTTATTCTCAGAATAAAAGGAAAGGGTGAGTCGACAACCCAGAAGGCGTACACGGCGCACTAACGTTTATCAAGGAAATAAAAAAACAATCTGGAATAATACATGCCTCCGATCATGAGTCTTGGAATCGAAACTAGGAGAACATAGCTCAACACGCAACACTAGACTTACTTGAGTTCGCGCTTCTTCCAAACCACGCGCTGGTAAACTACTCACTAGAGTTTTCAATTTCAAAACACGTGTTCATTGATTAGTTATTTTCTAGTAAACAATATGATCATTTTCATTCTCGGGTGTCACCTGAAATACGGATACTATTTTTAACACGAAGTCAAGGCTACTAGACGGTAAACCAAAAACGGATGCTTAGCCTAAAATTACGAACAGATACTGAGTTACACAAAGTTATACTACATTTTTAATAACACATGCGAGCGAAGGCTTGCAAAATGCCCACAGAATCCACCGGACGTCAAAGCAGCACACTATCCTATCCCTGTCACTTTACCAGCGATAAAAGAAATCAACTATGCCATCCATGAATGAAGTATGAGAAAGAAGCACGAGCTGAAACCCTGAAATTAAACATATAAAAGGCTGCAAAGATGCCTCACATTCTATTTACAAAGATTTGGGGGAACAATGCGTGCCGATGGACCAGAAAGAATGATACCTCATCAAGATACCAAAGAGAGGAAATCTGAGCAAGTGTCGGAAGTATAGAGATATCACACTGCTATAATTACTAGGAAATATTTTCAACAGTGTTGCTGAACCGAATGAAAAAGTCAGTAGAAGCCCAACTTCATGATTAACGGGCTGGATTCCATGGGGACTGGTAGTGAGCATACCGATTCATGACACTACATATCACCGATGAGCAATCAACTGAGCGTAATTCGCCAATATGCACCAAATTCGTTGACTATGGGAAAGCGTTTGACAGCGTAGATAGTTGAATATTATGAAACCTTCTTAGACACTGTGGTGTACTTGAGAAAATTGCTAACATTATACGGAATTGACACAATGGATTACACTGCAAATTCGTGCATGGAGGACGGCTGACAGACACATTCCAAGTAAAAACCGAAGTCAGACAAGGCTGCCTACTCTCCCTCTTTCTCTTTCTTCTGGTGGTTGGTTGGATTATAAAGACCCCGACATCTGACGGCAAGCACGAAATACAATAGGCAGTTTAGATGCGACTAAATGATTCGGACTTCTCAGATAGCCTGATCCTTCCGTCCCATACACACACAAAATGTGGTTCAAAACAAACAGCATAGCAGCAGCCTGTGCATCAGTAGGCCTCAGCATGCGCAAAAAACCAAGATCCTCAAATACAATAAGGAGAACACCGACATAATCACGCTTCATGGAGAAACACTGGAGGAGGTGGAAACATTCATGTACCTGGGAAGCAACATCAATGAAATAGGAAGATGTGATGCGGACGTGAAAGTAAGGGTTGGTAAAGTAAAAGTCGCATTCCTACAGCTGAAAAACATATGGAACTCGAAACGACTGTCAACAAATATCAATTCCAGAATCTTCAATTCGAACGTCAATACTTTTCTACTCTACGGAACTGAGGCTTGGAGAACTACCACAACCATCCGTCCGTTAGACGGATACCGTTAGAAATAACCTACTGTAGGAGAGAACAAACTAGCTTCCAGCTAAAGAGGAAATTAGGAAAAGACGTTGGAGGTGGATAGGACATACAATACGAAAATCATCAAACTGCATCACGAAGCAAGCACTTACTCGGGGTACTGAAGGGGAAGGGATAAGAGGAAGACCAAACAACACATTGCGCCAGAAATTGAAAGAAGATACCAACAGAGTGAATAGCGGCTGGAAACAACTGGAACGGATCGTCTAGGTCACAGTTGGTTGGAAAATGAGGGTGAGCAACCTATGCTCCTCTATAAACGTTTATATGAGTAAGTACATACTCATTAGTGTTAAACAGAAAGGATGAAATCAAGACGAATCACAGATACTAATTGTTTCTACTGCCGACACTAAACACCCTTAGTTCAGTCTCTAGGCCAGTGATCTAACTCCATTATGATCGAGTGAACAAACAAATAGAGATTCTCAGCTTGATTTCGTTAATTCTCAGCTTAACTTCGTTTAAGCAACAAAGGTAGTAAAAAGTCAAATAGAAATTAAGTTAGAGGAATTTATTTTAGTTATTCTTCTATGAGAACGAATGTTGAGAGATGTGAAATAGGAATGGAAGATCTACCAACTCCATAAGTAATAAATGATTCGCTCCGTGTACGTATGAATGAGATACTATTAAGTACACAGACATGCAACAGCACATTCACACTCATAATGCATATCCGAGGTCACAGGTGAGTAATTGGCAAAGATAAACATATGAGTGATAGGCCAAACGGAAAGACTATAATGATTTGCCTGTCCAAACGTTGGAACGTATCACGTAGAAATGTGATAACGGAGATTTCTACAAGTAACGTCGAGGGAATAAGAACTATATATACTTATACAATTTCATGTCCCACTAGCAAGTGATTAAGTCTTGTGTGAAATTTGTGTTACCTTTTTAACAACCCGATTAAGGAGTAATAATAATAATAATTTTATATTCTGAAAATAATAATTACAGAATTCACGCCAGTTTACAGGCTTGATTAATTTGATATAAATAATAACATTAGATGTGCAGAACAAACATGTGATAGAAGAAAGTTTTAAGTATACTAGTTCAGTAATTGTTTAGGTAGTACATATATTACAGCGATCCAATACATCAGCCGAGTTTTTAATATTTCTTCAATGGACAGCCTGTTGATTTGTGAATGGAGTAATTAAAGTCATTTCGTGTGCCAGATCGAATTAATGATAATTATCTACAACTAGAGAAATTAAAACGAAAACAGAGAGCACGGAACAACAGAGTGTTTCTGAGGCTAGTCGCCTATGGGTAAAATTATTATTCACCACAGAGGATGCAAACATTTTGCAACAATGCCTCAGGCACATTTATTTCAAGTGGCTGGCCTGTATTAGACAGAGGTTTTTATTAAAACCCTCAGTATGTGTCATATTCAAGTTTCATCAAGTTGTACACATTTGTGTCGCTTTTTCTGCACGCAAGGATTGATGCATACTTTGTGTTAGCAAATAAGAAGCTGCTGATTGAACAATTTTAAATCTGCATATCAAATCACAACTCGAGAAAAAAAAGAAATAACTAGCCCGAAAGTCGAAAGTTTTGTTATGGTATGTTGACCGTACATTCATATTGAGAATTTGAGATATTATGCTATAGGTTAACAACTCCGCCTGGAGTCCCTCCGGGGGCTACTGCCAGTCCCCAGCCCGGATAAAGGAGGAGGGTTGAGCATGGAGTTAGCGTCCCCATCCCGTAGAAAACTAACTCCCTAAAAAACGCTAACCGGAAAAAATTATTCAAACCTTTTAAACTCTGCCCTGGGAGTCAGAAGGTCTTCATTTAGAAGAATTATGACGCCTCATGATGAAAGCCGAATTCCTTCGGAAGTTACGAGGCCGATGCATTCTCTGACAACCAGAGCGACCATTTATTTAGGTACATGGAATGTTCGTACAATGTGGGACACCGGAAGAGCCTTCCAAATTGCTGCAGAAATGAGAAGATACAACCTAGAGGTACTTGGGATCAGTGAAACACATTGGACACAAGTTGGACAACAACGACTAACTACAGGAGAGCTCCTGTTATACTCCGGCCATGAAGAAGAAAATGCACCACATACACAAGGAGTTGCATTGATGCTGTCCAAACAAGCGCAAAATGCACTTATAGGATGGGAATCTCATGGACCAAGGATCATCAAAGCCTCGTTTAAAACAAAGAAATAGGGCATTTCAATGAACATCATCCAATGCTATGCGCCTACCAACGACTACAATGAAGACGCTAAAGATCAATTCTACAATAGGCTGTAGTCAATCATCGAGAAGTGCCCAACAAAGGACCTGACCATTCTGATGGGAGATTTCAACGCCAAGGTTGGAACGGACAACACTGGATATGAAGACATCATGGGACGACACGGACTTGGAGAAAGGAACGAAAATGGTGATAGATTTGCAAATCTATGTGCCTTCAATAAGCTGGTCATAGGCGGCACCATATTCCCACATAAACGCATACACAAAACCACATGGACTTCACCTGATCACACCACGCAAAACCAAATCGACCATATTTGCATCAACAAAACGTTCAGGAGGACTATAGAAGACGTGAGAACCAAGAGAGGAGCTGATATAGCATCAGATCATCACTTACTGGTCGCAAAGATGAAATTGAAACTCAAGAAGCACTGGACAACGGGGCAGACAGTATCACAAAAGTTCAATACGGCCTTTCTCCAGGATACTAACAAACTCAACAAATTCAAGATAGTCCTCAGCAACAAGTTCTAGGCCTTTCATGATTTACTCAATGGAGAAGGAACTACTGTGGAGAGCAACTGGAAGGGGATCAAAGAGGCAATCACTTCAACATGTCATGAGGTCCTGGGTCACAAGAAGCACCACCACAAGGAGTGGATCACTGTTGATACACTGGATAAGATTTAAGAAAGAAGAGACAAGAAGGCAGCGATCAATACCAGCCGAACAAGAGCAGAAAAAGCTAAGGCACAAGCTGAATACACGGAAATAAACAAACAAGTGAAGAGGAGCATCAGAACCGACAAACGTAAATATGTGGAAGATTTAGCAACGACGGCGGAAAAGGCTTCAAGAGAAGGAAACATGAGACAATTGTATGACACGACAAAGAAACTCTCTGGAAATCGCCGCAAACCAGAACGACCAGTGAAAAGCAAGGAAGGCAAGGTAATCACCAACACTGAAGAGCAACAAAACAGGTGGATAGAACACTTCAAAGAACTCTTGAATCGACCAGCGCCACTGAACCCACCCAACATCGAAGCAGCACCCACGGACCTCCCAATCAATGTTGGCCCACCAACAATTGAAGAAATCAGCATGGCCATCAGACAAATCAAGAGTGGCAAAGCAGCAGGACCAGACAACATCCCAGCAGAGGCACTAAAAGCAGACGTAGCGGCAACTGCAATGATACTCCACATTCTCTTCAATAAGATTTGGGATGAGGAACAAGTACCAACAGACTGAAAAGAAGGA